ATGCTATAATTTTAAATTTTTTACCGAATATTCAAACTATAATAAACAAAATAACCTAAATAAATTTTCAAAATTTTGTTTGTTGTTATGTTTTTTTTACGTTATAACAATATGCTTCCTACGCGCGTGTACTTTTAGAGAGACGTACTTCTATCTCACTTCCAACTCAATGTATAAGATGGGTAAGAGAAAGCCCGATGACGCGCTGAATCAATTTTTTGCTGTTTTTCAGAGGTAATAAGTTTTATTTGCCGATTAATAGTTTTGTATCATGTGATTTTTTTTTACTTTTTTAGATACTTTTGATAACTTTTTATTTACTAAAGTTAACAGTAACATTTATTTTTAACATTTATTTTTATTCATGAAAAAAATATTGTCAGATACTGCCTGAGAAGTAAAATCTTCTTCAACCTTTTTTTTTTTTTCAATACGATAAAAAGGCCAATTGCACTTGTCGTGATCCGTGAAAAATTTCTACCTGTTACAATGAACATAGTAGGCTTACTGGGGTTATAAAATTTTATGATTTCAAAAATATCCAAGTCTTTCTCCATTTAACAAAAATAAGGAAAAAAAATTTTTCCATGCACGTCGGATGCTTTGAAATTGCATACTTTACGAGCTTCGTTTCAGACTTATATTTGGAGAAATTCAAATCAATTTCAATTTGAACCATTTCCCTGATTTTGGTTATGTTTTCTGTGATAACCAAATAAAGCCACTGTATTTAACAAAACCGCCATTACCTGAAGACTTAGCAAAACAGTGCAACTGTAAAAAAAATTCTGCAACGAAAGCTTGTTCATGTCAAAAACTAAACATGACGTGTGTGGCATTATGCGGATGTTTAATTGAATGTTGCCAAAATCAATTTCATGTAAAAACTAGTTACACCAGAATATTACTATTAAATAATCATAGTGGAAAAGAATTAACAACCATAGAAAAAATTGAATACATATATATATTGCGTACTTTGTTTTAAAATAAGAACCAGGTGAGTCAACTATGCTCATCGTAACAGGTAGAAATTTCCCTTGAATTACGGCAGGTATATTTGTCTTCTTTTATCTTATTGGAAAAAAGTGAGAAAAATTTATTTTTTAGACAGCTCTTGGCAATGATTTTTTTTGTGGATGCAACATTTCTATTAACTTCAATGAATAAAAGAGTTATCGAAAGTATCTAAAAAAGTAAAAAAAAATCACATGATACAAAACTATTAATCGGCAAATATAACAAAGTGTTATGAAAAATGTTAATAATAATTTTTTTAAACTTATTACCGCTGAAAAACAGCAGAAAATTGATTTAGCGCGTCATCGGGCTTTCTCTTACCCATCTTATACATTGAGTTGGAAGTGACATAGTAGTACTTCTCTCTAAAAGTACACGCGCGTAGGAAGCATATTGTTATGACGTAAAAAAAAACATAACAACAAACAACATTTTGAAAATTTATTTAGGTAATTTTGTTTTTTATAGTTTGAATATTCGGTAAAAAACTTAAAATTAATGCATTTTAAATTTTAAGGTATATTATTTAATTCAAGAAAATTAGAATTTTCGTCAATTTCGGATTTTAAAACATTCATAACATTTAAAGGGTTTAAGATACGATGATGGGCGTAAGGACTTTTTTATTCTAAATATCCTAAAGAATATAAAAAAAATTAATTCATTGCAAAAAATGCATTTTTTTTTCTGGCTTAATTAAATTTTCGTTGTTTAAACAATAACATCAACAGATATCGAGTGTCATCTTACACTTTTATAATCAGGAAAGCCTTCCGGACATTAAAAAAAAAATTACGAATTAAAACAATTTTGCAAACGAATGCGCCAGTATGCTCTGGTCTATTAGTATCATGTAGATTGATTAAAATTTAATTTTTTTTTTAAATGTGGACCAAATTTATCGAGTCTACACAAAAATAACTCATTTTAATGTATATTTAATATCAATAACTAAAAAAATATACTGACAAAATTAGTTTGACAGAATTATCACTTATTTAAAATTTTTTAAATAATAGTAGTTGGGTGACCAAAATATAAACTGTGATTTGTGGATTTCATTTTTTTTAAATGTTCTCACTACCTAAATTGGGTATGAAATATATTCGTTTAGTTGAACACAATAGCATACTTTTATACTTTTTCGTTTTGTAGTCTGCGTAGATTAGCTAATATCCATGTGGACGTAGAAAACTTGTTTTGAACAGGGTCAAACTTACCACTTATTAAACAATTTTGAAATCAATGTAATCCTACCTAAATTATGATAATTTAATTTGGGGTCTGCATCATTCTATAATTAAAAAAAATTGCTTGGCAACACTGTAATATGTTTTAATACATTCTAGGGTTAAATACAGTTTTACCAAACCATTCTAAAAATAAAATACAGGGTGTTCCATTTAAAAACATACATTTTGATTTGCCAGCCAAAAATGCGACACCCTGTATATCTCAAAATATTTTTAAAATATGTATTTTTCAAATCCATATAACTTTTATTAAAAACTTTTTTGCGTGTCTACAACACTAATTGAAATATTGAAGAATTACGCACTAATAGGACACCCTATAAAAATTATATTAATAAACACATAAAATTTCTTATAATGTGGTTCTTTCCGGTTTGAGTCTTTGGGAAAATCAAAGAATATTTTCTTGCAGGTATAACCTTTATTAAAACAGTTTTTGACTGCACAAACAGAATGATGTCTTTTTATTTCACTCATTCTACTCACAGCTAAAGAGTCACCAAAATAATAACAGAACCTTTAACTTAACACAACAGAGAGCTCAAACAAAATCAATGAAATTATAGTTGAGCTTATAATTTATAATTATACGGACGGCTCAATACCCTACCTAAGTACGCTTCTGAACGCCAAAGCCGTCTTTTCCGTCCGAAGGCGGAGCTTAAGCGATGCGCGACGGAATCGACGCAAACCGTTGCCGCCAAGAGAGTATTTTAGATAGTATTGTATGTATAAGCTGTGATATAAGTTCAGTGATAAATTAATAATTAAATAATAAATTAATTAATTTATCTATGAGTTGGTATCTGTATAAAATTGTTATCTTATGTTGGCACAAACGTTTGTCATACGCCACTTGTTGTTAACGTCATACTACATAACCGTCAGACGTCAGATACGTTCTGTCAGTGGCAGGCTAGGGGATCTTTAATAGGGAAATGCTTACTCGTGTTGTAGTACTGTGCACCACCCATAGATGGCGCTACTTACACAAAGTTTGCTCGTTGCATTCGTCGAGCAGATTCAGAGTGTATTCCGAGCAGGTTCAGAGTAACGCAAGTGTACGCAAGTTGTTATTTAAAACTTTCAACAGCTAAAAAAACGCTATTAATGGCAATAATGGTAATGGTTGATTTGTTTTATTAGGTTAGTTTTTCGAAGATAATTTTTAAAGCTTTAAACATATATAATTATGGTGCGAATTCGTCCTTGTGCTGATCCAGATTGTCAGGATAAAGTAAGTCGCAGGTAAGGAATACATTTGCAATTTTATTTCTTTACAAGTAAAAACTTCTTTTTGTATTTTATTCTTAAATACTTTGCCAAATTTTAAGAGCATATATTATTACTTAAAAGTACCCAATTTGTGAAATAAATTTCCAAAATAATGCGGGTAACCTAATGTTTTCTAGGAAAAATTAAAAATCTTAACCTAACTTTTATCATTTTCTATACAATTTCAGTAACTAGATAAAATATGTGAATATTAAGAAGATTGAAATAAATAGTGTTATTAGTATTTTTTTAGAATTATACAATATGTAATGGATACTTTATAGTAGATACCTATATACAATTTTTTTTCCGAATTCAAAATGAGGTACTTTTCAAACATACCAATAATTGTATATTTTATATTGTGCGACTCTTATTATTTTTTGCTCCATATACTGTGACCTTACCTCACCTAGGTATCTTCACAATTTATTGATTCCAATTAATAAAAGTTGCATTCTTACTAAATTCAAATTCCTTCATTTTATTGAAAAATCTTCTGCGATATATTTTTAAGAAATGCCGATTCATTCTCACTAGCTAATAAATTAATAGCTCAGCTGAATTGACTCAAAACAAAAATAATAAAATTGAACTTTATATTTTTTAACTGATACTCTTCTTCATTTTTTACATGAAAACGAATCAGCAAACACTGCAATAGGAAGTGACAAGTACACCCAACAGCAGCCAGAGCCAACTTTCCCCAGGAACTTTCGTTACAACTTCTAGTGGATACAACCATGGGTGAACTTCATAATAGTTTTATATTCATATTTCTTTATTATTGTGTACTGTAATAAGAATTCGTGCAATTTTAATTCTAATAATAAAAAATATATGGTTATAATCGTGTTTTACTTCATAATAAGATGTATTTTTTGTTCCATAAATCCAAAATTATAATTTTTCGTTTTCTTTTTAACTTAAAATATTTCAAATTTTATCTATCACAGAACATAACCCAATGGATTATATCCATCTAAGTATGTTGAGTGAAGAATAAAATGTTTGAATCATTTTAAGTAAAAAAGAACGAAAAATTATAATTTTGAAAACTTAGTAGTGGTTTATTAGAAAGGCCGAGTTTGAAAAAGCCGCGCTCATTGACCCCTGCCGCCATCTATATAATAAATCTTGAACAAATTTTCAATTATTAGTTATCTTCTTTTTTTTTAACTCAACTATTTGCAACCGCTACGGATGGCGCTGAAAGATGAGTAAAATTTTTCACTGTTGAGTGGCCCATCTTTAAAGGGTATGGTCTGTGGTCAGTGGATCTGTTGTCATGTCAATTTCTTTACAAGGGTTATAAGCAATTTTTTTTTAACTTTTTTGGAAGCAAACATTAAAATAATGCGCTGTATCTCGATCGTGATTATTGTCGAATAACGCGTCTATGGAAGTAGTGTAAAAATGAGTTATATTGTTCCTCCTGGATAGATAATTTCAATGAAAATGAATGGAACTGATTTAAAGGAAGAGGGGTCACTAATTGACCGTAGACCTATAATAACATGTAGGGTACCAAAGTTTGAACCACTTAATTGTTTTAATTAAATCATAACTGATTTTAGGCGCTGGAGAAATAGAGGTTTTCTCAGTTATTGAGGACAATCTGACAGAGGCTTTACCTCAAGACACATACGAATGGAGAAGGACTTTTGGCAGACCAGTACGATCAGTCCACATCGGAGGTGTTTTTGTACCTTACAGTCCAGCTGCTTTGTCCAAATCCAACAGTTGGGATCTCATCAGACAACCGCTGTTCCACATCTACTGGACAGATTGTTCTGTAAGAGCAGTGCTTTTATTTAATATGTATTAAGTTAATTTGATTATTAATTTTAGGATGTAGAATTGTACAAGTCCTCAGTGAAAGAAGACATTGAAAACTGGCTCAAAGAGCTGAGCAGTAAAGAAATTAATGACTGGCTAATAGTAGTTGTAGAGAATTTTGATGGGAAGCGTACAAATAAATTATTGCCAAGAACAACAGTCTTAGATAAAATTAGAGCTGATTTTGCTCCAAAACAAGGTAAGATAAAATACTATTAAATCATTGTCATATAATTTACTGATTAGTGATTGTAAAATTCTATTGATCTAAACAAGTTGTTATGCACCTTTTTAAATCACTTCATTCTCATTGACATGATTAGATCTGTTTATTAAAGCTTATTACACTTCTCACAAATGAAATGAAAGTACTAGATTTTTATTTCTTAGACATATTTTGGTTGTATTGAAAATTGGGTAATGTTGTAGTTGAAGGGTCTGACATAGTTGCCAGGTTATATTTAATTATTTGGAACCAAGTAATAAGCAGATTGAAATAACTATTTTACTTTTAATCATCTATTTACCAATTTTTACACCGATTGAAAATTTTCAAGTAATACGATCGTTATTTTAAATTATTAATGATAATTACAAAATTTAAATTTAAAATCTATCAAAACTGTATTATAAAACAAAACAGAATTGTTATTTCAAAATATATAAATCTTTATATTTATTTATCATACATTTTAATGTACAGAGGTTACAATTTGGTTAAAAAATAAACTATGAAATAAAGCAAGCTAAACTGAAAGTTTAGATTTGGCAACGTGGGTTGTGCAAATTCAAATTCTAGACATCAGTGCAGAGTGGTGTGAACATGCGCACTTCTAGACCCATTAACTACCGAAAATTGGAATTTTATAAGATTCCGAATAATAGTGCACAAATTATTATTAAAAACTAATTTTTCGAGACTTTCGCTGCCTGAAAAATGTTTTATTGAATCTTTGGGAAGGCCTACTCCCGATTTAAAACCTTTTTTACGTCTAAATTTACAAGTATTTTTAATTCTTTTCTTCAGACTTAAGGGTAGATAATTTAAAATTAATTCTTAAAGAGCAAGATAGAGCTTTAACAAAATTTAAATCTGTGAAAACTCCTCAAAATTGGACTTATTACAAGGAATCTCATAATTTTGCTCTTGCCTCTATTAGAAGAGAAAAGGTGGCCTATCTGAATAAACTTCAAAATGAACAGAATGAGAAAGCTTTATGGCAGGGTTTAAGTAACATGAATATTAAATGTTCTATCACTAATAAAGTGTTACCTTTCAATTTATGTAACCCTAATGATATCAATGACTATTTTATTAGTGTCTTTAAGAAATCTGATAACTGTTTGCAGAAAATACATTTTTACTTGAATAATAAATTTAATAATAACAAACTCCAGTGGATCAAAATACAATTCTCAAAGTTATAAATTTGATTAAATCAAATGCTGCTGGTAATGATAAAGTATCACTTTATATGATCCTTGCTGATGATCCTTGATCATATTACCCACATTATTGGTTGTTATTTACAGTATGGTTACTTTCCGAAAATGTGGTGGAGTTTGTCCCATACCTAAAATAGCTAATCCTACTACAGTATGTGAATTACGTCCAATAAGTATTTTGTCTGTCTTATCCAAAATACTTGTTGTGTATATGACTATGTTACAAACAACAATATCATACCCACTCAGCAGTCTGGATTTCGCAAAAATCACAATACTACTTCTGCATTATTAAATCTAATTGTTAGCTTTTCAAATTCCAAATTTATTGTCTCGGTGGGGGTGCCTCAAGGATCCATTTTGAGGTGCCTGCTATTCCTTATATATACTTCAGAGTTGCCAAAAGTTGTTAGAAATAGTGAAATACAATTATATGCTGACAACACACAGATTGTTCATTGTTTTGAACCTACAGATATTTCTAATACCAATAAAAATATAAATATGGATTTAGATGCCATTTTTCAAAGAACATAACAGTCAATCCATCTAAAACCACAGCAATATTATTTTGTAGTAAACCCAAAAGAAATATATGTGAAGGTTCATTAAGGCTTGAATTGGGTGGAGTTAGAATAGAGTTAGAATAATTCGTTCTGAGAAAGCCAAAAATCTAGGATTAATCATAGACCAATCACTTAGATTCAAAGACCATATTATAATGTTACTTCAAGGATGTTATGTAAGAATATGTATGTTATATGCCAACAAGCATATCTTAAACTTCAAAATGCATAAAAAGCTTTGCGAGTCTTTGGTTCTCTCATTTCAAAACTGCTGCATTACAGTTTATTACCCTTGAATTGATAAAACCTCACAAAGCCAGCTAAAACGTGTACAAAACACTTGTAGATATATTTTTAATCTATGGAAATATGATCACATATCCTTTAACATTAATGAACTCAAGTGGTTATAAGTTAACCATTTAATTTAAATTCTATTTTATATTTTTCGCTTAATTACTATTACCTGACAACTCTTTTAATGCTTTTGTCCATTTCTAACTACTTTTTTCCATTTATGTATTTTTTATATATTTTGTGCATGATCACTGACATTTTCGCATAATTAATGGTAACTAAGATTAATATTTTATGATCTAAAAATAAAGGCTTACATGAAACATCCAAGTTCATTTTATACAGAAATTTAATAGCCCTTTTTTTGAAACACAAAAATTCTTTTAAATATTTCCTGGTTGCAGGTTCTTATTACATATCACCCAGAAGATAACTTATTACATAGTTAGTTGATGTTTTGTTCAAATTTTAAATTCTGATAAATGCAAATTAAAATTAATTTAGTGCATTAGATTTTGTATATTTTGTTGACCAATAACAACATGTGATATATTACATTTAAAAGTTTTAGAGACATTGAAAACACAAAAAATAGTAAATAATTAATATTAGTATTGGACAAATAAAGTAGTGGTTCCAGAACAGAGCCTTGAGGTACACCACTGTCAACAAGACGACAATCTGGGGTATAATAATTCTTAACCAGGGCACTGTGACATCTGTTTGACAAATAAGATTTCAACCATTTCAAAGCCATACCCCGAAACCATATTTTTCCAATGTACTTAATAATATCCTGTGACTTATCAAACGCCTTAGATAAATCACAGAATACTACTGCAGCAACTGATTTTTCATTTAGCTGCAAATATAGTTTCTCTATAAAAGAGAATATGACGTCTTAAGTATTTTTATTGATTGGAAACCAAATTGTGTTTACGAGAGAAGTAAATATTTTGTTCAAAAAAATCAACATTTATTTAAATCACTAGTTACCTACTACTATATTTGCATTTCTAGAATTGTTCTAAGATTATCTCAATAAGTATTTGTTAAAACATTAAACAGATTATAATCAGGGTACATACATGCTAGTTAAATAAAGAATAATGTTCAAACAGTGAATCATTGATATTTTAAACTCTTTAAATGATTGATTACAATATATTTTGTATTGATATGGGTTAAAAACAATTTACCCAGTGTTGAGTTACACACAAATATTGGTTCATTGTAGGTATTGTTTGTAATATAAATCTATGTATCTATGTATAAAACTAGATAAATTTTTTATAAATACATGGGTCAAATTAGGCTTTTTTTAATAAATGTGTATGTATATTATACTGTTCATGTCCATTCAAATATTTTCAACTTTTCCACACTCATGTGTCTCTACCCCTAAATTGAGTAATTTTAAAATTTGAAAGTTAAAGTATCTGCTCTTTAGGTGACCGATGTGTATCTGTGATAAATCCTGGCAAGATCGAATCTCGATCTGCAGATTCTTGGAGAGGTTTAGTGAATAGAGTTAGGCACCTATTGCTGGCAGCCTATGCTAAGGCAGTGTATCGATTGGAGGAACATGTGAGACAGCAGAGGGAAAAGAGAAATGAACATGGTTGGAATTTTATGCACTATTTTTCTCTTCAAGTGAGTTATTTTATTTTATCATAATAACAATGAAAAACTTTGAAGCTGCACTGATTTTTGTATGAATACCCTATGGATTGTTTATTAATATTATTGTTATTTATTGACTGGACATCTTGTACTGTTTAAGATATTTATGAGGCAGTTATGTACTAAAAATCATAAAAATGAAACAAAAATACTATTAATACATTATTTTTGTTTGAGTTACTAGTTTTAATAAATTTGCATGTTTTTTAATTAGTAGTTAGTCACTGGAATAATCTTTGTTTTTGAAATTATTTTATATTGAACAAAATTTCTCAACTCATCTCTGACATCCCATAATATTGAACAATTTTTATTTTTTTGTGACATATAACATAAGAATGTTAATTTCTTTCGTAAAAATAAACCCATATGTATGTACAAATTAGTAAACAAGCAAAAAATAAAATCAATAGACAGTGACTTTATGCTCTGAAAAACATACAAAATATTACCTATATTGCTGTTCTGCTTCACATGAAACCCATCCTATGATTTTAGTACCTAGAAACAACTTAAACTATGCAGAACTTGCAACTGTAGGAAAATACGAGGTTGCACAAAAGTCAGGAAAAAAAAAATTAAATATATTTTCTGCATTTAAATTTTTATTTTCATGTTTTTACAATAATAGAAGAGAAATAAAGTTTTTTTTGTGAGGATAGAAGAATTATGTATAAGTCTATTTTTTTATTTTTTTAAGATTATAGTAAAGAAGACTTAAAAGGTCCACTGGACCTTAATATCATTGTTTTTCACTTTTGTAAAATAGATTGTCGTAATAAAGGATGCCAGAAAATAAAAATATTTTCTGTAACTTCAATAATATAATAAATGCTTAAATTTTACCATGGACATTTTCCTCAAAAATAGAGAATCTATTTTCTAATAAACTCTGTGTTTTGTATCTGTAAAAAATCTATGAGAAATTCAAATATTTTTTTACATAAAAACATTTTTTGAGGAGTAAATTTTGAATTTAAAAGCATTACCTACGTTTTTAGTTTGATATCTTTGGTCATAAAGTTGACGAGTTTGTCCCTAATTGATGTTGACCACTGTCCAAGGTTGTTAAATCAACGAAAATTTCAAAGCTATATCTGTTTTTCTTTAAGAATCGTCAAAAATGTTGCGTTTCAGGAGGAGCTGGCCCAGGTGCTGGAAATGCTGGGACTCTACGACGAAGCTCTGGTTCAGTATGACGAACTGGACGCACTGTTCTCCCAGTTCGTAGCCAACGGCATAACCAGCGACAGCGTCAGTTGGCTGAGCAATTTTCAGAAACCGTTGGAACGGTGGCATGGCTTAAAGCTCGGTAGCTCCAAGTTACCAAAAGATCCTTCTATATTAGAATTAAGGGCTTACCTTTTCGCCAAACAAGCTCACATGCTGCTGCTCACTAATAAAGTTTGGGAGATGGCATCTCGTTCGTTACCCTTCCTAAATACATGTTCTAAAGAGCTGATAATTTTAGAAGTAACAGCTCCGCCCGGTGCTATATCTTGCTGGTTGTTCTTAGCCGCTATGGAGGTGCTAGAAACTTGCGATAAATTCAATCATGCTGATGAAGTCAAAGAATACTCACTGCATACTGCTGGCGTTTGGGAGTATGCCAGTCAAAAGGTTAATATATTTTTACTAGTTACAAGATTTTTAAATTTGAATTGATAAATAAAATATTTCTGAATTATGGCGAGATATTTTTATACTTTACTTAGGATTTTTATTTGTTCAGATACGAAGTTTAGGAGAATTGTGCGGTTTGATGCCCGGAGGTTTCCCGACATCGGAACAGCTTCACATTGTCGTTGAACTGTCCGCTGGTATGGGAGATAATCCTGGAACGTCTGATAGCCCTTCGCCGACTGATAAATTGAAGGTAGCACTGTGTTCGCAAGAAGCATTTAATAAGACTTATTTGGTAAGTAAACACCTAAGATTGTTTCATTATCAACGATGAAACTTGATATTTCTCTTCCTCTCCTATCCAGTCGTGCCTCCAATCAAAACTCGTTTTTTTACTCATTCGTCTTTTAATATTGAAAAGAATTAAGTTTGAATATAATGTGCATTAAAAGTAGTTACCAAATGAAATGCGAATTGTCAAAAAGACAATACCGATAATTTTCTAAAGTTTTAGTAGTTTAAATGTATCCCGCCTAAAAGCGATTTCCATCAATATTTAAGTCAGTAGTCCAAACGCAGGGGTCTTTATATGTCTTTAAAACTACTAAAAATTAGAAAATAAATGTGTTTTACTCGCTGTAGTTTAAATGTATCATAAACTTACAAATAGTAATACTTGAAATTTTTTAAGGTGTATTTATTAAATATTGTAACAGCTAATTGAGTTTGTAGTTCAAATGTACCGGACGTTAAATTTCATTCAATTGTGAAAAATGGCAATAAATAAATAATTTTTGATCTTTTAATTGCATTAGTTCAAATGTATCAAGAATAAAAACCCTCAAATTAACCTCTAATTGAGATGTGCCGGACGTCATTTACCATTGAAGCAACTGTGGAAAATATGACATACCAAACACTTGTTGATCGTTTAGTTGTGGTAGTTCAAATGTATCATAAATACAAATTCGCAAATGGGAGTCCTCAGCAATTTTATGTTTTTTTTCTGTTAAATTAGTCGGTAGTTCAAATGTACCGGACGTTAATTTTCATTTTCAACTGTAAAATGATAAAACAAATAATTTTTGACCGTTTAATTGCGGTAGTTCAAATGTATCATAAATAAAAACCCTTAAATGCGAAATATTACTTTAAGTCTACTTTTTCCTAAATTAACCTTTAAGTCAGTAGTTCAAATGAACAGGACCATAAAGGAAGTCATCGGCATTTTTAAGTATACTTTTTTTTAAATTAACGTATAATTGAGATAAAGTTCAAATGTACCGGGGGTTAATTTCCATTAAAACAACTGTAAAATGACGAAACCATACTTTTTGATCGTTTAATTTATTTACTTCAAATGTATCTATCATAAATGAAAGCCCTCAAATGGGAATAATAATTTTAAAGTGTACTTTTTCCTAAATTTACCTTTGAGTCAGTGGTTCAAAAATGAAAATTTAAACATATGGTAATTAGGGTTGCCAACCCTTCTGCATTTTGGTGGACGTCCACCATTTGGGGTGCATTCTAATGTGTCCTGCAACAACGTATTGCAGGACGCTTATTGTACTTAATTTCAGTGTTCCAAATAATATCTTCAATGTGTTCAATTTCGTGGACTGACGCGAGTAATCGATTGATTGAACACATATCAAGACCGAACCTGAAATAAAGATTAATTATTCTTTAACTTGCGTAGAATTTTATAATTTGTAAAAAGTAATCATAAATTAATAATAGCTGCAAAAAGTAAACAAGAATATGATGTTAAACACAGTGACATTGTAAAGGTGCGTATAGATATAACGGGCCGAGCCTGGGCCAACAACGGCTCAGGTTCGTCAGATTTGTACGGTGTTGTATACCTACCGTGCAATGGAAAGCAACGAGCCTACCACACGCTGGGCCATGTAGGATCGAAGTAGCCCCGATTTATTTCCATCGCACGGTAGACATACGACACCGTACAAATCTGACGAACCTATATGAACCTGTTGTTGGCTTGGGCCCGGCCTGTTATATCTATACGCACCTTTAAGTAGTTCTAACTTTTTATGCACTTTTTAAATAAAATGTTAAATCATGAGTTCTTATTTAGCCAAAAAAATCCTTATTTTTTTGTCTAATTGTTTAAGTTTGTTAGGTTTTTGCAATAATAAAAATGTCCAGAATTTATATCGTATGTCCTGAATTTTTATTACCCTCGTCCAGAAAAATTAAAAAACAAAGTTGGCAACCCTAATGATAATCAGAAAATTACATGTTCAGGTCGTCGGACTGAGAGAACGCCGCTATAAATTTGTCCGTTAATATGACCGATTGGGTAAGGGTGTATTTATTAAAAAATCCTGCCAAAAATAATTATGTGGTAGTAAGAAAACATAACCTCGCAGGATTAATTCTGTCGACCAAGCCTTGTTTCGTGTTTATGATCAAATTATCTTACAATTGCACTGCAAAATAAATATATGGTCATTGTATTACATAGCATCGTAAAATAGACATGATCAGGCGTTGCGCAGTAGAAAACGCAGCGTTTCCGTGAATTTTCGCAGAGGAAAAGTATGGTAGATTCGTAAAAATTAAGCCACTCACGAAGTTTTAAATATGTGATAATCAAGCAAAACAGGGGTGGAGGTACTGTAGACTATAACTATCTACGACGTGTAATAAATGACGATAAATGAAGGAGTGAATTGGTGAATGGGAAAAGAAGTAATTCTGTCAACCAAGCCTTGTTTCGTGTTTATTATCAAATTATCTTTCAATTGCACTGCAAAATAAATATATGGTCATTGTATTACATAGCATCGTAAAATAGACATGTTCGGGCGTTGCGCAGTAGAAAACGCAGCGTTTCCGTGAATTTTCACAGAGGAAAAGTGTGGTAAATGAAATGGTGGTAGAATAAGCCGCTGACTGCAGTGCCGCCAGGTTACAGACGGATTAGGGTGATAGCGCAGGGAGTCTGAAGAGTGTGAAACTAAAAAAACCCTCAAATGGGTTAATACAAAAACTAGAAAATTACAATACAACTATTTTTTTAAAGTTTTTTTAGTAGTCCAAATGTATAAATAAAAACCCCCAAATGAGTGTTCTCTCTTTTAATTGTACTTATTTGTTAAGTTAACCTGGCGTAGATAGTTTCTTGCGATAGGGAGAATATGATTTTCATGTATATATACATACATAAACATACAGATGGATTAAGAGACTTTTATCTAATTCACTCATAAGTTTCGATGGCTCATTAGGGAGATTGATCCCTTTAATCTACTGCCTAGGAAAATGGCTTTTTGAGAGAATCACCTTTAAAGATTAGACGAGTATTGAGAACAAAATCGACCATTTGATCTATAAGAAATTCCGATTCATTAAGGCAATTTTGTCACTAGATTTAGTAACTTTTTCAAAATCTAGTAACCTCTTCGTAGGTTGGTAATACTGATTTTCTCACTAGAATTTTATGATATTGGCAAAAAAAATTTTGGTAGATTTATTCTCTTTTTAAAATCTAGTAACTTTTTATATCTGTATATTTACATGAAGGATCAAACTAACATAATTGCTTAAATACATTATGTGGTGGTGTTGCATTTGAATTTTGTGTATTTTATACATCTATTTCGTGCTTTAATTCAAATTTGTTCGAGTTGCATAGCTTATATATAGATGCTGCGATGTATTGATTATAGATGCATTTTTTACAGGAATTAGCCGAACTAGCGATGGGAACGTATAAACACATAGGCCGCTTGCGATCAGCGCGTCTAGTCGGACGAGAACTGGCTTCGTTCTACATGCTCGTCGGGGAAACCCAGAAAGCGGCCGCCTTCTTGACGGACATTCTCAGAACGTTCGAACAGGACGGATGGCACGAATTGGCCGCTCAAACGCAAATAGAATTAGCCGAGTGTTTTTTGAAAGCCGAAGACACCAGGAAGTACGTTTGCGCGTGCGCTGCCGTCAGCGCCGCTTTAGAAATCGACACTCTGATTCGGTGGACGTACTTCGATGATATGTGCAAATGCGTTAATTTGCTTAAGGAACCTCTAATTGTGCCTTTTAATGATATTTTTAAGGTAAGAGATAGATATTATTGATTTATTGCAGTACTTATGGAAAATAATGGCCAAGTACGATACAAAATGATTAAAATTCAATATTATGGAATCTGTCTTGAAATTTATTAATATTAATTATATTAGTTACTAGCTTTTGCCCGCGGCTTTGCACGCGTGGTGTCGTGCTTATAATTTAAAAAAATGAATGATTAATAATTTTTATTATATTTAGTAATTTTCATTAATTATTATTAATTTTTATTAATTAATTTTTATTTATTTATTTTTATTTATTTTTTTTTTGTTTTTTTATTTTTACGATTTTCCTTCCTCCTTAAAATGTGAAAATCCAAAAATCTAAGACATACCATTATTTATTTGTGATAAGTAGCTATAATTCCAATTTTCAAGTTCCTACCTATAAAAAAAATTGATGCTTCCTCGCAAACTTTTAACCCCCGTTTTCCCTCCTTAAAATGTAAAAAACCAAAAACCCTGAAACACGTCAAAATCCAAATACTTTGAAATATGTCCATTTATTTATTAAGAGTACCTATAATTCCAGTTTTCAAGTTCCTACCATACATACTTTCACTCCCCACTCATTTCCCCATTTTCTCCTTATTTCCCCTCTTACCCCCATTTCCTCTCTTTCCCCTCTTAAAATATGAAAATCCAAAAACCTGAAACACTATTATTTATTTGTGATGAGTAGCTATAATTCCAATTTTCAAGTTCCTACCTATAAAAAACCGATGCTTCCTCGCAAACTTTTAACCCCCGTTTTCCCCCCTTAAAATGTGAAAAACCAAAAACCCTGAAACATGTCAAAATCCAAATACTTTGAAACATGTCCATTTATTTATGAAGAGTACCTACAATTCCAATTTTCAAGTTCCTACCATATATACTTTCACTCCCCACACATTTCCCCATTTTCTTTTTTTTTCTTCTTCATTCCCCCTCACCTCCATTTCTTCTCTTACCCCTCTTAAAATATGAAAATCCAAAAACCTAAGACATACCATTATTTATTTGTGATAAGTAGCTATAATTCCAATTTTCAAGTTCCTACCTATAAAAAAATTGATGCTTCCTCGCAAACTTTTAACCCCCGTTTTCCCCCCTTTAAATTGTGAAAAACTAAAAACACGTCATTATTTATTTATGCTCAGTAGCAGTATTTCAAATTTTCATGTTTCACTACCACTATGCAAAAAAATATGTCCGATCACTTGCTCTGGAAAAACAAAAATAAATCGATCCCACGGGAACCGTACATTTTTTCGGGATAAAAAGTAGCCTATGTGCTATTCCAGACTAAAATCTATATTTGTGCCAAATTTCATCTAGATCCGTTTGGCCGTTCTTGCGTGATTGAGCAACAAACATCCATCCAAACTTTCGCATTTATATATTTACTAGCTTTTGCCCGCGGCTTTGCACGCGTGGTGTCGTGTTTATAATTTAAAAAATGATTATTAATTTTTATTATATTTAGTAATTTTCATTAATTTTTATTAATTTTTATTAATTTTTATTAATTTTTATTAATTTTTATTAATATTTATTAATTTTTATTAATATTTATTAATTTTTATTAATTTTTATTAATTTTTATTAATTTTATTAATTTTTATTTTTTATTAATTTTTGTTAATTTTTATTAGTTTTTATTAATTTTTATTATTTTTTATTAATTTTTAATAATTTTTATTTAATTTTTATACATTTTTATTAATATTTATTAGTTTTCATTAATTTTTATTAATTTTTATTAATTTTTATTAATTTTTATTAATTTTTATTAATTTTTATTAATTTTTATTAATTTTTATTAATTTTTATGAATTTTTATGAATTTTTATTAATTTTTATTAATTTTTATTAATTTTTATTAATTTTCATTAATTTTTATTAATTTTTGTTAATTTTTAAGAGTTTTTATTAATTTTTATTAATTTTTATTAATTTTTAATAATTTTTATTTAATTTTTATACATTTTTATTAATATTTATTAACTTTTATTAGTTTTCATTAATTTTTATTAATTTTTTATTAGTTTTCATTAATTTTTATTAATTTTTATTAATTTTTAGTAATTTTTATTAATTTTTATTAATTTTTATTAATTTTTATTGATTTTTATTAATTTTTATTGATTTTTATTTATTTTTATTTTTTTATTTGTTTTTATTAATTTTTATAAATTTTTATTAATTTTTGATTAATTTTTATTAATTTTTATTAATTTTTATTAATTTTTATTAATTTTTAATAATTTTTATTTAATTTTTATTAATATTTATTAATATTTATTAATTTTTATTGATTTTTATTAATTTTTAATAATTTTTATTATTAATATTTTTTATTTATTTTAACTTATTTTTATTTATTTTTATTCATTTTTATTCATTTTTATTTATTTTTATTTATTTTTATTTATTTTTATTTATTTTTATTTATTTTTATTTATTTTTATTTATTTTTATTTGTTTTTATTAATTTTTATAAATTTTTAATAATTTTTATTATTAATATTTTTTATTTATTTTAACTTATTTTTATTTATTTTTGTTCATTTTTATTTATTTTTATTTGTTTTGATAAATTTTTATTATTTTTTTTTAATTTTGATTATTTTTTATTAATTTTTGTTAATTTTTATTAATTTTTATTGATTTTTATTAATTTTTATTAATTTTTATTTATTTTTTATTAATTTATTAATTTTCATTAATATTTATTAACTTTTATTATTTTTCATTAATTTTTATTAATTTTTATTAATTTTTATTAATTTTTATTAATTTTTATTAATTTTTATTAATTTTTATTAATTTTTATTAATTTTTATTAATTTTTATTAATTTTTATTAATTTTTATTAATTTATTAATTTTTATTAATTTATTAATTTTTATTAATGTTTATTAATTTTTAGTAATTTTTATTAATTTTTATTAACTTTTATTAATTTTTGATTCTTATTTATATTAATTTTATTAATTTTTATTAGTCTTAATTAATTTTTATTTATGTTTATTTATTTATTTTATATATTTTTATTTATTTTTCTTTGTTTTTATTTATTTTTGTTTATTTTTTTTTATATTTTTATTTTTACGATACTCCCCTTTTCCTTCCTCCTTAAAATGTGAAAATCCAAAAACCTTGAATTACGTCATTATTTACTTATGATGAATAGCTACAATTCCAATTTTCAAATTGCTACAATTATAAAACCAAAAGTCTTATTCAAACTTTCACCTTCCGTTTCCTCCCTTAATATGTAAAATCCAAATACTTTGAAACATGTTTATTTATTTGTGAAGAGTACCTACAATTCCAAGTTTCAAGTTCCTACTATACAAACTTTCACACCCCACACATTTCCCCCATTTCCCCACTTTCCCCCACCCAGTTCATTCTTTACCTAATTTCCCTTCTTACTCTCATTTTCCCTCTCCCCTCTTTAAATATGAAAATCCAAAAACCTTGAAATATGTGATTATTTCTGCAATACCATTTTTCAAGTTCCTACCATATAAACTTTCACTCCCCACACATTTTCCCCATTTCCCCCATTTTCCTTCTTTCCTTTATTTCTCCTCTTACCCCCATTTTCCCTATTTCCCCTCTTAAAATATGAATCCAAAAACCTGAAACATACCATTATTTATTGGTGATGGCTAGCTATAATTCCAATTTTCAACTTCCTTCCCCCCTTAAAATGTTAAAAACCAAAATCCCTGAAACACGTCATTTATGCTCAGTAGGTATTTCAAATTTTCATGCTTCATTACCACTATGCAAAAAATTATGTCCGATCACTTGCTCTGTGAAAAACAAAAACAATTCTATCCCACGGGAACCGTACATTTTTTCCAGACTATAATCTATATTTGTGCCAAATTTCGTCCAGATCCGTTAGGCCGTTCTTGCGTGATTGAGCAACAAACATCCATCCATACATCCATCAAAACTTTCGCATTTATATATTTATATGATGTCAGTTATATCAATTATATTAATTATATTAATTATATTAATTATATTAATTATATTAATTATATTAATTATATTAATTATATTAATTATATTAATTATATTAATTATATTAATTATATTAATTATATTAATTATATTAATTATATTAATTATATTAATTATATTAATTATATTAATTATATTAATTATATTAATTATATTAATTATATTATATTAATTATATTAGTTTTTAGTATATTATCAACAAAAGTGAGATGTTTATCCCTTTCAGGACGGATACTCCTTGTTAATGTTGCGCCCCACGGCCTAGAACAAAATGTGTTACCACGCAGCCTGATGACGCATATATACGTCGCTAATTTTCTATGTAATTTTTAATGAAAAATTAATATTTTGTTAATTGTTTAGACTTGTTTTGAATACGAAGGTTGATCCTCATCTCTCCACACTATACTTTTTTCAGATAGAACGAAAAACAAACTCAAAATAAATATTTTCCAAAATGACGCATATGCGCGTTACTCGTCCTCAAAGGGCCATTGCAACTGCATAAAATATGTTCAAATATGATCATACCTATGCAAGTCATAAATAAAGTGAATTCTTGTGTTGGATTTGTGCATTACTAATTGTTGACATCTTTATCTTTATCGGTTGTAAGGTTGACATCTTACTTCAGTCCTGAAGTGTTAAGTTCTTTGTCAATCCACTGTAGGACGTAAATATACCACCTGTCAGTTTCAACCGTTCCCTGACCCTTACTAGACTACTGTTTAGTCTTTACGGATTTTATATGATCTTATTTATACGTTACGCCAGATAATAATAATAATAATAAAGGGGGTGGGTGGCTCAGTGGTAGAGTCTCTGCCTGCGGATCCAAGGGTCCCAGGTTCGAATCCTACCGTTGGCAGGGATTTTTTCATTTAATTTAATTATTTAAAATTAATTCTGATGCCTTGGTAGGATTCCCCACTCAACCATTCACTCTTGGGTTCTAATTAACAGTGCTGTTCCTAAAGTGGCGCTGAGAAACAGCAACAAAGCCTACACAGGACACGAGGCGAAATAATCTTAGCAGTTGAAGCCAATGACACACCAAAAAAAAAAATAATGTCACTCAGTCGGCTTCAGGGATTGAACTTCACTCGTAAGGCTTTTCTGGCTCAAAACCAGTTATAGTTCCGATCAATTATATACAGGGTGAGCAGTTTCTTTTTTAAAAATTATTTTTAAAAGTCTGCAGATTTCGACTAAAATTAGTTTTTAAAAATTCAATATGGCGTTAAAAGGAGTCGCATTTAATCAAAAAAGGTTCCCTTTGAATGGGAATTTACAAAAAATCGTCCATTTGGTTTGTGCAAATGGACCATTTTAAAAGTAGCCAATTATTATTGCTCAATAAGGGTAAATTTGACCAATACCGAGCGGACGCGAAGTGATATTTCGTGGTATGATCAAGAGGAAGATCGATGGAGAGAGAAATGTGAAAAAGGGTTTTTGGTTTGGTGGTTTTAATTTTAAATTATTAAAATTTAAGTACTTGGGCGTTCTCTGTTTTTACAATTTCTATTTCGAGAGAAGTTCTGGGTAAAGTATAGGAGAACAAGCAATACTCAGTAACTTAAAATAAAATAATCGGGAAAGTATTTTACCCAGAACTTCCCTCGAAATGGAAATTATAAAAACAGAGCTACATTGTTTACCAACAGTTTCATTTTTGGTATTTTTTCTACATCTGTAACTTTCTTCTTCAAATCCCTTCGTTTTTTTGGTTAGTGAGTATTGCTTATTCTATACAGTTAGATTTCTTGTTCATTTTGTCTAGCTACATGATCTGCTATCGCAGTTTTATTTCTGGTATTTTTATACATCTGTAACTTTCTTCTTCGAACGTCTTCTCTTTTTTACAGAGTTACTGAGCATTGCTTGTTCCACTACTGTTTGTAATGTTGGATAATTTCTCTTTTAACGACAAACGAAATTCCAAATTTACATTTCTATTTTTTTTTTTTCAAGATCACCAGCGTGTGCATAAAAAATGACGGCGACATAATGCAAGACAGCGATATTAACTTGGAGCTCCTGATCGAATCCAATTTTCCGAAAGAAATTCTATGCACAAAGATGGCCGTCTCGTTAGAAACGTTTCCGGAACCTGTCAAGGATAATAAGAAGACGCAGGAGAAGGTGTGGCCCAGCAGACTGTTGACCGCCAAGGATATGAGAGCGCAGGACGTGATGTTGCAAAGGTTGAAGATGAAGAAAAATTTGGATTTCAAACAGGACAGGCAGTTAGCAGCCGCAGGAGTAGCCTCAAAGTTTACGGAATTGAGAAGGAAGAGCAGCACGTCGCAGCAGGTCAAAGAGGAGGTCGGGGAGTGCTTGGAAGTCGTTAATTTGGTAAGTTATTTTCATTATCTATTAAATGGGCCTTCTTTTTTTATATATATTTTTATTGCCAGTTAAAGTAGAAGTAATTATTTTAGTATTTTGCAAAATATTCTTGTAAACAACCTATTGAAACTATTGAAAATCTTTATTCAAATAGGTAATCCTAATGTACAAACAGTGGCGGCTGGTGGTAATTTAAAATGGGTGTTCACTTTTTCCAATAATTTTATCTTTTGTAAGTTCGTTTCAAAACCTTGTACAAGTGTAGTTATTATTATCATATCATACTGTTTTCAAGCACTGCAACTATTAATGAATAAATAAATGAATATTTTAGTTATTGCAATATTTGTTTTGTTTTTAATTTGTTGAAAACCATCTATAAACAGGGTAGCCAGTTCCCCTGTAAATAGTTGGTAACAAGTTTGTTTGACCTCGACAGTAGCGCGTTATGATGAACTATAATTCGGTACAGTCGGTAAAGTAGAAAACTACTAGGTAAAGCGATTTAAAAAATGGCGGGCTTTAAAATTTATGAAATTTGAAGTAATTTCAAGTAACATTTTCCTATTTTACAGCTTTTACTTACAATAATTGAAACAATCAATAAGTAAAATGAATTTTTATTGTAAGTAAATGCTGAAAAACGGAAAATGTCACTTGTTTTGAATGAAAAATAAAAACATTTGTAATAAGTTTATTTTATTTAGAATAGGTAACTATATCATTACATTATATTAAACATCATATTCACAATATGTTGAAAAATGTTCAAGGGTTGAAGTTAATTTAAAAATATACGTTTACACTAATCACGATTATTATTGTTATTAATATTATTATTTTATATCTATAAAATTACCTAATATCACAAAATTACACATTATCACAAAAAGTACACATTAAAAATAAATTGAGTTTACTACATGAAATTTTTTTTATTATTCTTAAGCTCTATTGGGTGTTCCAGTGCCAGAGTTGCTAAAAAATAATTAATTAAGTTGAGATCAAAGTTTAAGAAACATTTAAAAATAGTCACTTGTCAAATAAGTATTTAATTTTGTCATGAACTACATAATTTTAAGGAATAGGTAACTTTGGCATGTATAGAAATGATTTTAAAACAATAACAAAGACCAGTTGTTTTGAAATTTTGTTGGTTAGGTAACTCTGGCACTAAACCACTTTACTATCCCTTCACCCATCTATTTCGGTTCATTGTAGTTGCAATATCCATTCCAAAAATCTCCATACTCAGGAATAACTAAAACAAACAAAAAATAAAGGCGCAGTGTGCATCTTAAAATTAAACTAAAATTTTTAAATAAATTTGTTTCTGATAATTTTAAAGCAGTCTTAATTGTATTTTTAGATTTTAATAAACTATTTTTTAATCTTGAAATTTTGTTTCGCTGCTCTCGATTAATATAATAAAATTTTCTCTTTCTAGGAGTTAAATTACCAATTCTAGTTGCATTAATTTGATTTAAAATACCAGTTCTTACACGTGGTTTCTTTATTAAAGGTTCCTCAACACATTCAATTCTATCATTAAAAAAATCTAGCTTTCTTTTAGCTGAAGTTATATTCGAAACAGAAGGTTTAATCAAAACATTACTAATTACATTTATTTTTGCAAGCGAATTTGATGAAGGCAGCTCTGAAAAATTTTCATCTAATGTAATATTATTATTAGTAGTAATATTCTCTTCTAAAGGCGCTAAAGGCAAGGCAAATTTAATGAGCTTAGTAGGCAAAGTGCTGGTGAAGGCATTCTCGTCAAAATGATCCTCGCACTATAGTTTTTTTTAGATGTGTAGGGAATATTTAAAATATCAAACCATTTCTCTCTAAGGGTAATAATGGACGGAAAAGTAAAAAATTTCTTATTAAGTGAATGTAAATAATATTTGCTTCTGCAATTTGCAGCAGCACATGATAATGTGAATTTATTATAAGTTAATGACATCGTTAAGGACCTCAGTATATTTTTACACCTATAAATTACTTAAATTTAACTAAAACTAAATTAAAAATAAGATTAATTAAATTTTACTCACCTACATTTTCCACGACTGTCATGTTTTAGTGTAACATAACCTAATTTATTAACAAAGCCAGATTTACACCACCTCATAATATTCAAATGTAGCTTTAACTTTATAAATTTATAACAATTATCCCTGTATTTGATCATTATATTGTATTAAAGTGATATTTAAAAGATTGCATTAGTAAAATTATTGATTTCTTTAAAATTTATTCATTTTTTAATTATTATATGGGTGTAAAAACGGCTTTTATTTAGTGCTCGCAGCGCGTGAAGCGCGATATGATAAACTACAAACAAGGAAACAATTCCCGCCTATTATTCAAACCTTCTCTTTTTAGTTTTTCTATGTCTATAAACATTAAACATTATTAGTCAACTGACTTTTTTCTTTGAGATTATTTTTAAATGTAGAAAGCTTGACATTGATTTTTGTGTAAAAAATATTATATGAAACTACCTACCGCTTTTCTATTTTTATTGTAAATTTAATCATTTTCATAATTTGTCACACATGATAAATAAAATAATATATTTTTTTAAATACTGTTTATTGGCAAAAAACAAGTGAACTAAAATGTGTATTTTATAAGATCAGTCCCATCACAATACATCATATTACACAGATACAAACTAAAATGAAGATATATAATACGTGGCATTCTAAATTATAATTTTCACAGTTTAACAGACCCCCCTTAACCCCCATTTCCAATCAGATTATTTTCAGAATCAATAGGCTTCATTGCCTTGTAGAGCTTGATTTTCCAAAAACTTCAAGTTGATAGTATTGTTTGTTTTTGAGTTAGATTTATTTTAAATATTTCAACCCCCTTAACCCCCCACTTTTATTAATTTTTTTTTTACAAACAGTATGCCTCATCTCCTTATAGAGCTAGATTTCTAATAAAAATTTCATGTTGATATCGCTTTTCATTTTTCATTTATGATTCTTTTTTAATTTTAACCCCCGTTAAACCCCCATTTTTTTTTTTAATAGAAGAGGGAGACTTACCTAACTTGAAGCCACTCAAATCCTACACTTCCTTGAGAAAATAGGATTGGAAGGGTCGCTATAGGCATTGAGACATTTCCTTAGTGCAGTGGCGACAGAAGGGGGCACAATAGATCTTTTAGGTCGCAGTGTATTAACACCCCATTATCAACATAACATAACCCCCATTTTTAATCAGATTTTTTTTTTCAAAATTAAAGAGCTTCTTCTTATAGAGCTTGATGTTTGCTAAAAATTTTAAGTTAATATCATTTTTCGTTTTTGAGATAAGATTATTTTTATATATATTTTAACCTTCCCTGACTCCCCTATTTATTTAAATTTTTTTCAAAATCAATAGGCTTTATCCCTTCTTATAGAGTTTCAATTTTACTAAACATTTCATGTTGATATCACTTTTCGTTTTTAATTTAGGATTTTTTTTTAATTTCAACCCATCCTAACCCCCTATTTTTAATCAGATTTTTTCATAAACAATAGGCTTTAATCCCCTTATAGATCTTGGTTTTTGCCTTAAATTTTCAAGTTGATATCATTTTTCGTGTTTGACTTATCGTGCAGACAAAAACCGTGACATCGGACAAAGTAAACCTATAATACTATTTACAGACTACTGTGTAAAGAGTAAAATAATAATATAATCAAAGCTAAAACAATAACATAATAGCCTACAAAATGGGTATACTAAAAGAATGATAAAGTCAAAGAGTTGAAAATTATGTAATAGGTATATCAGTACTTCGGAGATAAACTGTGCTGTCCTTCTAGTCAGCTTTTTAGTAGAGCAGACTGAATGTTGGTTGAACACTTTTTGTGTTCTATATTTACATGTAATAATTATATTTCGACAATAAATTCAGTTGGCCCCAATTATTGTCACAATATGTATTGTTTACTAATAATCTAACTATTAAAACTTTTTTTAATATACATGAATTGTTGGTTTCTGTAACATATTTCTATGTTCTGATAACAAATTTTCTGACATACCTAGTGTCTTATGCCTCCAACATGCCTCTATAAATAGTACGACTAACGTGAGAGTTAAATAGTGTTGTTTAACATTTAACTTGTAAGTTTATTAAACATTGAACATAGTGTTCTTTTTTAAAGTCAACTTATATTGTGACATCACTCTACATGGTATAGAATACCCCTGAAAAGGTCTCGATAAGCCGATTTTAAAAATATAACCTTTATAAAACTGCACTGTCTACGTAGTTTACCTCCCAGATAGTTATCGGTAAATATTTTATTTAGTCTTCATGATATAGGTACATACCTAACATAGACACAACTATTGAGTTTCTTGAATTAATTTAGGCCAGTGCAACATTTTTATTTTATTTCCTCTTTAAAAAAAAACTGTAATAAAATCCTCAGTGCTATATTGACACTGTTTATCAGTACCTCTGGCATTTATAGATAGGGCATTTTTCTATAACTTCAAGGTACAACCTACAAAATAAACAATTATTCATATAAAACTGTACTAGGGTCAAGAAATTTGGAAATAAACATAACCTCAACAAATAATAGTAATATTTTTACCTATGACGTTTTTCGGTAACAATCGTTGAATTGACACACATACTTCCGATTTATTAAAGTCGCAGTTTTATTTAAACTTAAGTTTTAATACAATTCACAATTAAAATTATCTCATGTTGATTTTTAGAATTTGACGGCTTGGTTGGAAAGTTAGAATATGAAGTAGGTAGATACGGAATAAGGATTATTTTGTGATATGACAAGTGAAGGCACTTTGCGTCATATTTTGATTAATTTTAAGTTAATAATTTTATATTTGTAGATTGACGGAATAAAAATGTTTTTATGTCATTTAAACCACGCTATTTTAATCAAATAGCATTTATTATCACCAAAACTAACTAGCTCGAGTTTGACATGTCGTAAAAGAGTAATACAAAAGTGCAGACAGGTTTAGTACTGTCATTGCTTCTCTATATCTATGATTTGAAAGATTGGTATGGGCCGCCTTACTTTGTGACGTCACGGTGTGCGTTGCGCAAATTAGGCTGATTTAAGTTATTTATAACTGTTTCATTACGTTTCAGGGATTTGTTATCGTGTGACATCTCTTTGACATTTTTTTTTGAGCTAAAGATTTTCAAGAACGCTTCTCACTCCTTCTGGCTCACTTATAAAAGCGTGCCATGAAAACGCGATTAGCCAGAGCGCAGTGGCGTACCCAAAAATAGACATTAACATGTATGAAAACAATAAAATTATTAAAATTGAATTAATATTTGTATGTTATTTATTTTAAAATAATGTGTTTTATTGAAATGTAACTGGGTGTTCACTGCACAAATGAACCAATGGAGAAACCGCCCCTGTGTACGAACATAATTATTTTTGTTTTATCAATATCAACATTAACATAACATACATTTTAAGACTTAAAACAATTCAACATAAACTCTAAATAAAACAGCTACAATGTATTTGTTGTCATCAATCAATAATTTCCATTTACTGATGGTTAACTGTAGTGCTGTTTCGCATGAATGTTTAGCCCGAAAGCCTGACTGGTAGTTTATTAAAATACTTATTTAATATATTTTTTATATAACTAAATCTGTTTATATACGGCTTTATCCAAGATTTTTTCTAGTGATGGTAAGGTATTTTATTATTTATAATTTTGTCTGAACTGCACTTTTTATCAAGTTCTGAAATAATATCTTGCAAATCTTTTCATTTTAACTCTTATATTACAATCAATTTATGGAAAATGTACAGGTCACCAGTTATTTATGGTAGGTAAACCTGTTTTAATTTCAATTATACAAAAAATGAATTAAATAATTCTGGTTTTTCAATGTCTGTTCGGGCAACTATATTGTTATTTTGAACTATCTAATACTTCAGCAGGATTCTTGATTAATGTTTTTAGAGTTTTCCACATTTGCTTTGAATTGTTAATGTGACCCTTTACATTTTCATAGAATTCACAATTTTTCTTTTTAAAGTTAACAACCTGATTTCTATAGGATTGATATCTTTCCCAAAATACTGACCTCTCATTTATTGAAATAGTGTCTTTAAATTATTTATAAGCTACATCCCTATTATGAATTAAAAGTGCAATTTCATTGTCATACCAAGATAAATGATTATTTTTACTAGTAAAAGACTTGACAGGTGAAACATTATTAATTACTTGACCTATTTTCAGTAACAATTTTATTAATGTCATTAGTGTTTAGATCCCAATCACAAAGTATTACATTTTCATTTATTAAATTAAGTTTAATTTGTCATCTGTCATTTCATTTCAGTTCCAAGATTTAAATCGCAACTGACTTACCAACATATCACTATGATAATATCTTTTTTTTAGCCTTTAGTGATAACGCCCGGACTAAACTTGATAAGACTGAAAAAGCGAGCCACCCACATAGGTAAATACTTTTTGGGCCAAACGATCATGCACGTGAAGAACTTGCACATCGTCTCGCCCACGTTGACGCCCAGGCTGGTTTTCGACGTTAAAGAGGAACATCCGACGTTGAAATTGTACAAGAAGGCGGCGCCTTTGCTCACCGGCATCGAACAAAGCATGAATTTGATTTTAACGATCGGCAGTTATTCGATAGATCCGGTAAGTATCAAGTCATTTTATCAAAAAGTTTTACATGTCATTTTTTTATATTTTTCTAATCCTGTCTGCAAATAATTCGATAATTGTTTATTAATTGACTTCAAAAAAGGAGGAGGTTCTCAATTCGTCGGTATATATATTTTTTTTATGTATATTCAGCGATAATTCTTTAACAGGGTGTGAAATTTCAATGATTCTTTTTTTGTTAAAAAGAGAGGGGATACTTCAGGGGTGGTCCCTTATTAATTTGGTTAAAATCTAATAATTGGGTCCATGAGAAAATCCTCAAACTCTTCTTTTTTATGTTTATTTAGCAATAATTATTTACCACCTTGTCTGATTTATATGATTCTTTTTTTATTAGTAAGGGAGTACCTCATGGGTGGTCCCATATAATTTTGGTCAAGATGTGGTGATGTCATCTGCACGATTTTGAAGTCGGTTTTTTAAAATTACTTTTAATACTTGTTTGTTTCAATTAATCATTTATATATAGTATGTAATTGCTCGATAAATCAATTTGTGTTGCAGATACACAAACAAGTTTCAAATTAAAGTTATATGTATTTGAAAAAGGCATATTATTATTTTAAAAATATTTTTGGACGTACAGGATGTTACGCTTCTGCCTGGCAAGTAATAATGTATTTTTTTTTAAATGAAACACCCTGTATTTTATTTCGTTTTTAGAATGGTCTAGTAATACTTATTCTATGCAAAAATATTTTTGAAAAATATTACAGATTTGCCAAGCAATTAATTTTTTTGTGAAATTAAAGAATGATTTTATAGATTGTTTTAAAACTTGTAATAAATATGGCTCATTTTAAGTTCAATTTATTTAAATTTGTCAAATCCAATACCCTGTATATTATATTAGCATTAAATTCGTTATGAATTTACGTATCCAACGATACCAACAATTCATATACAGCCCATCAGTGTGTATATGATCGATAGCCATTTTATTATTGGAGATATGAAGAAATTTATAATACAAAAGTAGTAGGACGATATTTAACAATTATTCTTAAATTTACAGGGTAGTCCATAAATAAGGAGCGAACCAAAATACTTTTTTAGGCTAAACAATCTGGACGACAAATTTGGTTGTTTTCACATCGTTAGACAATAATTTTAATAGACTTAAAATTCCTAATTTTTTTTCCATTTTTATGCATTTGCTATGTTAGGATCAAACGGCGATTTCGGCCAATGGTCGAAAAATATGACCAAAACGCTTCTGGCCACCAGCATATTGCCAATGTCCGACATATCGTTTTTCAACTGTTTAGTGTAGACCATTATGGACTTTCTACAATTGCCAGAACTCGTTCTGGACCTTTCACGATTTCCAGAACGTGTTTAGTACACAAAGCAACACTAGTTTCTAGTCGGTGTCCAAACAAATGATCCTAAGTCGATTCGGAATATTCGGACGTGACGTGAGACAGTAGTTGGTTTGTAATTTGAAATTAATTAATTGGTGGTATAACATACAGGGTATTCCAAGTCTATTAAAATTACTTATCGATGTGAAAACAATTATAAATGTAGTGTATTATTATTTAGATTACTATAGTTTTTCCGTTCATATTTTGAGTGTACAATATTATGTATGTAATATCATTCTGATATTGTCCATATTAAATATAGATCTTACGAATAATATTTAGTTGGGTAAACACCACAATAAATATGTGTAACTATATGTGTTAAAAAAGTTTAGTCAGTTCCTCGTTTATGGACCACCCTGTATATTTAAGAATAATTGTCAAATATGGCCACAAAACTTTTATATTAAAAATTTCTTTGTATATCCATTGGGTGCAGCCTGTATATGTATAATTGGCTAATATGTTGGTATTGTTGGATAAGAATATATATGCTAAAATAATATACAGTGTGTTGCATTTGAAAAAATTGAATGAACGGAAATTAAAATTAGCCATATTTAAGACATATTTCAAAACACTCTGTATAAAATAAACCAGTTCTAACACCACTATTCGTTAGCTTGGTATCTTATAACTTTGTATTTTAAACAATTTTGAAATAATTGCTAACCTAAGTAAATTATATTTTTATTTGGAGCCATTCTCTAATTTCACAAAAAAAAATGCTTGGCAAACCTATAATATTTTTTAAAAACATTCTATGGTTGAATAGAGTATTACCAGACCATTCTAAAATGGAAACAAAATACAGGGTGTTCTACTTAAAAAATATGATTTAACATTTCGATTAAGAAAATTGTTCTTTAAAACAGTGTAGAAGATTTACTTTATAAAAACCGAATTTAAACAAACATGGTTTTATTTTGAATGCACAGTGTATCTACTTAAGTCAACACCATATGCCAAACTTTTTTATTAGTTTTATGAAAAAAAGTTATTTCTTATAAAAATTATGCATTGTCTAAAACTAAAAATACAGTCATTAGTGGTAATTCTCTAATTTAATAATTTAAAACGTTTATTTTTAACGGGCGTTAAATTTTACGATTTTAACATAAATTGTAATTCTGTAAAAATGAAAATTAACGTATGGGTTAAATTTTCATCCAAATGCACATAAATATTGAAAAAAATAGCGGCCGAATGTACTTTATAAATTATTTGGTGGGCCATAAATTGTTAATAGAAATAAAATTACCACAGTAACCTTCTAAGAGTGACCTTATAAGACAAATTAATAAAAAATATAGTTTCTAAATAGAGTTTGTGTAATTTCAGCTGTTCAAATTACTTATGTAGGTACTTGCAAAATGGTTTATTTTCATGATTTTCTTACATTATAAGCTGATTTAAACAATCAAAACTAATAATTTCTTATATACTAATTAGTATGAGTTAATTTCTACAATTTTAGGCATAAAATTAACACATATATGTTAAATTTTTAACATATTTCTGCTTATAGAATACATTTTTCGGTGCAAATGATATTAGTGGTAATTCTGTAACGAATATATTAAAATTTAACAAACGTTAAAAATATAACATATGTTAAATATGAAAAACAATTCTGTAAATTCATGAAAAATTTTAACTTGTCATAATTAACATAATAGTTCATTTATGCTGCAAAATCTATTCTATAAGCAGAAATATGTTAAAAATTTAACATATATGTGTTAATTTTATGCGTTAAATCGAGGTTATTAACAGGTACTAATTAGAAGGCTTTAAAACTTAACATATAAGAAAACTATGACTTTTTATTATTTAATTCAACTTCTAATGCAATGAACCATTTTGAAAGTACTCAAGTAATTTTAACAGTAGGAATTACACAAATTGTATTTAGAAATTATATTTATTTATAGTGTATATACATTTTTTGTAGTTAGTAATTGATTTGCCGTAGAAGGGCACTATTAAGGTTACTGGGGTTAGTTTTGTTTTTATCGAAAATTGATGGCGTACCAAATAGTTTATAAAGTACATTCGGCCGCTACTTTTTTTCAATATTCTTGTGCAAAAACAGACACATACAATAAATATGACAAAAGGCATGACATTTATTTGATAGATCTTAAAACTTAACCATACTTTTATTGCAAATTTCAATTACTTTTAACGTATGTTAATTTATTTGAAAATTTAACGTATGCGTTAATTTTATTTTTACAGAATTACAATTTATGTTATAATCATAAAATTTAACACCTGTTAAAATTAAACGTACTGAATTACAGGATTACCACTTTAATATGTTAATTGTGACAAGTTAAAATTTAACATGAATTTACAGAATTGCTTTTCATATTTAAAATACGTTACGTTTTTAACGTCCGTTAAATTTTAACATATTCGTTGATTACCTCTATTAGATATCAAATTTTTTGTCTTGTTCGAAATTTGTTGAAAAATATGAATTTTGTGCAAGAGTAACTTTTTTTTAACAATATCGAAAATTGTTAAGAAAAGTTGATCAACATTGAAAACTATGGCTAGATATTCAATATCCCATCTACCATGAAAAACCAGTTTTATGATATACAAAATTAAATGTATAATTTGTATTTATGCAAAAAAGTATTAAAGATCGCTTTTTCGTAGATGAATAAATAAATAATATTGTATATCTGATCATAGTTTCCAATTTCATTCAGTTTTTCTTAATACCAATTTTCTATATTGTTAAAAATAAAGGTAGGTACTTTACTAATACATAAAATTTAAATTTTTTGACGAACCTCGTACATTATAGATAAAATTTGATATTTGATGGTTGAATTTCATGTTTTAGACCTTTCCGAACTTTTTAGGAAGAACTTTTTTTGCATAAAACTAATAATTAAAAAGTTTCGGTTATCCGTAATTTTAATAATTCTTTACGTTAACGGCAACAATGTAAAAACACATTAACTGTCTAGAACATTATAAATTAGCCAATAAGGTTTAAGCTTTATTCTGACGAAATTTTAAAGATCATTGAGGCGTGCGTTTCAAATTTGTTTGATTTTTTTTTGGAAAATCAAAAAATTAAGGGATAAATTAAAAAATATTTTTATATTAGATTTTGTTCTATTAAAAAAATGATTTTTGAATTTCACTAAACTTGTTCAGTAATTTGGACTTTTGTATGTATTTTAGAAGTCCACAGTGAAGCTCATCACATCAAATGGTCTATCCCTGCACACCGAACAAGATGCTCCATTACAAAATAGTTTAGAAATCGAAGTTGGAGAAAATTATCCGTTCAGTAGCTCTAGGCGCTCATTAAGGGTATTGGCGGACGCCCTTTCCAAGGATCATCAAGTAAGTTCATACTATTTTAAAAGTATACAATAGTATAATGCTTAAATTAATTTTAATGTTACCGCTCTAAAATAAGCTTCTGTGTTAGGATATGTGTGCCGAACATTATAAATTAGCCATTAAGATTTTATACTTAATTAGAGCGAAATTTGAAAATCCATTGTTTGAATTTTTTGGAATTTTAAAAATGTAAAAAGAAATAAAGAAAGTTTTTAAGATATTTTATTCTATTCCAAAAGTACCTATTCTTCTTTTATTTAATGTTAACAAATTTCTTATATGAATAAACATTAGTATTATTATTATTAGTAGTATCAGTAAAAAAAGCCATTATTACGTATTAATTTCAGGTTACCATCCACGTGCCATGGACACCCAAGCCCATAGTAGTAATGCTCAGTTTCACACCGCCTTTGACCTCGTCTTGGAAGCTGTTCACGGTGCTGATGAAGAAATTCATACAGATAAATGTAATCGGGCAATGTAACGTGGACATAATACCGCGAGGAGTGAATTTGAACGTCGATAAGACCTGCGAATTAGTCGAAAAAAATTGTCATTCTAGTCAAATTATCTCGAACGGTTCCACTCATTCCTATATATGGGAATTGGTGATCGGAGCGGAGATGGAGTCTGTGATCAAGGCTGAGTTTTCAATGGTTTACCGGCTGCATAATCAGGACGGCGACAATAAGTTGTTCCAGTATTTTTTCGACATCGCCGACTACCAGGTAATGTTACTTTCAGATATACTCATAGATAATGCTAGCATAATAATATACGCAAAATTAATAGTTCTAAAAACTAAAAAATCAACTCGTACATTTCAAACCAAAAATATTCTGATTTGGTTAACATGCATTTTAGCAGATATTTGGTAATTTTTGTAACAATTTGGTTCCTCAATTTTATCTTCTAGACAACGTTGTCAAGTTTAATAAATGTATTTAATAATTGTTGAAGCATGTTTATTTTACTCTCCGAAACTGGATTGGCAAGATTTTATAAATCAAAATAAAACAATTTATTATTTGGATAAAAGATAATGGTTTGTAATAAAATATAAAATATCTATAAACAATGCTTATTTATATCAAAAAGTTTTATACAAATGGACAAAAAAAGATTATCTTACATTTCACACAAAAAAAATATATTCTTGATATTTCTGCATCATTTGGATATCCGTTTTCAAGCACGAAATTTGTAAAATGTAATAATTGACCTAAAATAATTTTTAAATACTGGGTAGTGTAAAAAACTCTAATATTTACAGTTTTTGCAATCAGTTTAACACCCTGTACAGTTCATACTTTTATCTCATAATAATTTATTCAGAAAAGAGGCAAATTATTAAAAATAATAGATATATAAAAATACATAATATAAATAATAATAATAAGGCTGATAGCCTTAGTAGTTGATGCCGATGACACCAAATCAAAAAATAATAATAATAACAGCCACTATATAGTATTAATGAACAATAAATTTACTATGTTTAAAGAAAGTTAAATTATATCTTTGAATAAACATGTGTGTGAATTCATCTATAAGAAGCCAAAAAGACTGTGCATGGACGAATATATTTTCATGATTAAATGTGTTTACAATACATTTTTATACACAAAATTAACCTAGCTATTTTAACATATATGTTATTATACATTAGAAAAAACGAAACGGTAAAAAAGAACATAATACCCCATGTAATCACATTTATGAGACCCTGTATAAAATATGATACATTTTCGAAAAGTAATTCTTAAACTATCGCACATCACAGACTGTCTCACCATTATAAGGGCCGTAGTAAAATGCCAATGTTTTGTTGTATATTAAAATAATAAAATGTTTTTTCTTGTTTTCGTTTTTGGATTTTGTTTCTCTGGTTTACCTCGCCTCCTATTAGAAAAATCAAAAGCGGGAGCTGCCTTCCCAATGCCATCTAACTCTTAAGTTCTATGACAAAAGCAATGTGCTGTAAGGTTTATGTCCCTCTGAAAAATTATAAATAACTAGCTCTATAACAAAATAAAATGTCAAAGCGACAAAATGAAAGATTGTCAAAACAAGAACTATCTGACGCCAAAATGATTCCAAGGATAGTACGTATCACAGCTGGGTAACTCCTAGTTAAAAAGTAATTAATAATTACAATTACTTTTTTTATGTAATTTGTAATTGTATTTAAGAACCTTTTCTCTCAAAGTAATTTAGAATTGTAATTGCAGCAAAATCTGTGGAGGAATTATACTTTGTAATTATATTAATTTATATTATTTAAATTGTCCAAATACAATAATTGCTTTGCCATAAGTAAAATTACTTTTCCAATTACAATTACATTTTTTAATTACAGTTACTTTTAAATGCGTGTTTATGAGATGCACGTGATATAAAACCAAGAAATTTCCTATTCGAACCGGTCACTAGAGCTCGGACTCGCATCCATATAGTTTGTTTGAATGCAATTGAAAGCGTTGTGCAGTGAAATAGTAAAATTGTTCAACCCAAAATAATGACAGTAAAGGGTAGGTAGATGCAAATATTCTTATTTTTAAGACGTATTTTGTATTTATATTATTATAAACATAATTTATGTTGCATAATTATAAACTAAGGAAATATAGTATGAAGTGGTGCAAATAGCAGTTTTTATGGGGTAAATACTAAAAACTACTTATTTATGTTGCGTAGGTATTTCTAGTTATTATTCTAGTTTTCCACATTGAAATGAAGGATTAACTATTTTAATAAACATATTCTAAGTTACTTTAGCGTAACAAGTATTTGATTTTAACATAGAAAATGCAATATTTTAATTCAATTAATAGAACTTGTAACGGAATATAAATATATTTTATGTTAAAAGAAATTATTTGATGATGTAGATCTATAACCAAATTTGAGTAAAATGTGTCTCATTTTTGTTTGTACGAACGAGATACAGAACATTTTAGATTATTCAATATAATTTTATTATTATGTACAAGGTGATTCATTAAGGGTGGTGGCCGGCCGTATCTCAGAATATCTTGAAGTAGAACTTTTTTTTGAAAGGAACGCAAAAACAGGTCGATTTTTTTTAAGGGGGACACCTTTCTATAATATTGTTACACAGGTTTTTGGTATCACAATTTATTTGAACTCAACTTTAACAACAATTACACAACTGATAACATTAACATGTAACGTCTCTCATACTGAAAAGTGACGTCAGGATCATCCTTATATAGCTTGCTTGACCCTTCTCGAAACTTTGCGAACTGTCTTCTAGAATATTCTTGACGGGTAATGACATTTCCAGACATTACTGGAATATTATATCTTCTTTTACTTGTACTTTTACTTATAACGACCGCAGCACACTGTAGGGCGATGAGTAACATTCCACTTCTTTTTCTATCTGTACGTTTCCTATTATAGCCGCAGGCTACTGCAGGGTGCTGCGTAACATTGCTCCCTCCTCTCTAGTTATTCGCCCCGAATAATTTGATTACTGGGACCTAGTTGGAACTAATGGTGAGGATGTGGACCATGGTATGAAGCTATCTTCTCAATGTGAACTACGTTGAATTTACTTCCCGCTGACAGTTGAATGCGGCAGATCAGGTTGTTGATTTTCCTTAAGGACGGAGTAGGGGCCTTCCCTGTTTCGTTGTGATTTCTTACGAAGTCCTACTCGCTGCTTGGGATCGCACAGCCATACCTTGTCGCCCCTCTGAAAATGTGTATCTGTGGCACGCCTGTCCATTCTAGCTTCTGCTTTATCGGTGTGGGGTTTCAGTCGTTCCCGTGCGAATCCATAGACCTTTGTCCTGCCACTGCATACATCACATTTTTTACACCAATCCGCTACATCCCGTCGGCAATTGACCCAATAAAATCTTTCCCGAACTCGTGCCAGTGTCCTCCTGAACGGCTGCTATGAAGCTCCTCAAATACTTTTCTCACCTGTGACCTCGGCAGTATCACTTGGCGGACTACATGTACTCCATCGGGGCTGTCCCACTTCCGGGTCAATAGGCCATCGTGAAGATACAGGGAATCCCACTGGGTCCAGTAGCCTTTTATAGTTCTACTGTATTTGGCTATCTCTTGCCAAGTAGGTGTGACTTTATTTTTGAGCCATTCTCGGACAACCTTTAAGTCATTGTCTTCCTTCTGTCCCTGTTTCAGTCTTTCAAGGGTGATTTCTTCTTCGTCGCTCTCTGGCTTGATAGTGATGGCCCAAAGAGTAACTTTATCAACCGGTTATTCTCGTTCTTCGAGCCTTTTACCATACCAGCATTGTTCCTCTAAACGGGGATGCCCGAAGATAATGCGTTGCTATGGAGACCTCCTCGATGCTCTACTTTCTGGTTATTGTTAGAAAGCCGGCTCGGTGTGGGTGATTGGCTTCTTCGGGACGCATAGCTGCTGTAATTAATTCTTGTTGGTCTTAGTGATGGACTTGGAAAGATTGATCTATATGATTTTCCGGTCTGATTCGCTGATTCTCGATTTATAGAATGAGCCATGCTTCTACAGGTTCTCTGAAGGTGTCCGATTCTTCCGCAATTGAAACATCTCCTGCTTCCATTTTGGCTGTTGCGTTGCATGTTTCGTAGGATATTTAAGATTTGGGGAATAGTATTAGTATTGGCCTTCTCACTTTCCTGGGATTTAATTTCCCTCACTTTTACGCGAGAAGATTTCGATAGGAGTTTTACCGCTTCATATTCCTGAGCTGCAATCAGTTTCTCCCTCAGCGTCTTGTTATGTTGTAGACGAAGGACTTGCTGCATCTCCACATCTTGTAGTCCATCAGTGAATGCTTACATTCCGAGTTGTTCTTGGAAATCTTTCGGCACCTGTGGATAGGCCAGATGAATCAACCTTCTCATATCAGCCTCGAATTCCTGTAGACTCTCATTATGTTTCTGACTACGAACCTTTAGCTGGCTTTGGAATACCCGTTGCAAATGCTGCTGGCCATATTTTGTCTACAAAGCTTGGACGAGAGATGAATAACTGGGTTCCTCTTCAGGAAGTAATTGTAAAACGGTTGATGCCTGACCTCACAGTGACACTATCAATGAAGCCGCCATCTCTTTATCGGTCCAGCCATTGGCTCTAGCTGCAGCTTCAAATTGGAGTCGATATGATTCCCATGTTGTCTGACCGTCAAACGTGGGTGGCTTAAGGGTCTTGCTAGTATAGTTTTGTGAAACTGGGATTCGAATGTGGCTTGGTTCGGTTATGGATGAAGACGAGGTAGTAGTGTTTGCAGCTTCAATGCTGTTTACTGAAGCTTGGCTGTAAATTATTTTTTCTAACTCAGCCATTTCAGCTCTAATTTGCCTTTTCAACTCTACTTTATCCTGTTCTTGTTGTTCTAAATTAGCTTTCAAATTATCTTGCTGTTTCTCTAAATTAGCTTTTAGATGCTCTTGTTGTTGCTCTAACAGATCTACTCTAATTTTAAGCTAACCAACCTCTTTCTTGAAGGTATCCTGGATTTGTAGCAAACCGTTCACAATTTCAATCGCTTCTTTCCTGCGCCTCTCCTCCTCTTCTTCCTTCCCACGCCTTTCCTTTTCCTCTTCTCGTCTTTCCCTTTCCTCCTCTCGCCTTACTCTCTCCTCCTCTTCTTCCTTTCTACGCCTTTCCTTCTCCTCCTCTTCTTCTTCCTTCCTACGCCTTTCCTTTTCCTCTTCTCGTCTTTCCCTTTCTTCCTCTCGTGTTACTCTCTCACCTCTTCTTCCTTTCTACGCATTTCCTTTTCCTCCTCCTCTTCCTTCCTGCGCTTTTCCTTTTCCTCTTCTCGCCTTACTCTCTCCTCTTCCATCTTCAAAAACCATGCTGGTGGGCCTGAAGTATCCATTCCTGCTTCGTACTCAGTGGATCTAGTATTTAACATGAACTTTTACTTTGTATCCCACCGCTGTCACCAATGTTACACAGTTTTTTGGTATCACATTTTATTTGAACTCAACTTTAACAACAATTACACAACTGATAACATTAACATGTAACGTCTATCATAAAACAAAACTGACGTCAGGATCATCCTTATATAGCTTGCTTGACCCTTCCCGAACCTTCGCGAACTGTCGTCTAGAATATTCTTGACGGGTAATGACATTTCCAGACATTACTGGAATATTCTATCTTCTTTTACTTGTACTTTTACTTATAACGACCGCAGGACACTGTAGGGCGATGAGTAACATTCCACTTCTTTTTCTATCTGTATGTTTCCTATGATAGCCGCAGGCTACTGCAGGGTGCTGCGTAACAATATCCTCAACTGTCACATATCATTCCTCTCCCCTACGTCAATCTAACCAATACAATTTAAATAGGGAAAGTACTAAGTATATATGACACATCGTCGGAATGGTAATTTTATGGGGAATTCAGCAATATGACTGTTTATTGCGTTCTTTTAATTTTAGGCCTCTAGCGGGAAAACAAATTATTACCTATGGTAAAGTGTGACACTTCATTTGAAAGCTAATTTTATTAGTACTACAACCAAAGATATTATAAATAAAGACGTTTTTGATTTTAATGAAGGCGTAACACCTTCGTTTGTACAAAAAAATGGGGTACAGTTAGAAGTGTTACAATATCTCGATGATTTCAGAAAAAATATTACGATGCTAGATAGCTACCCCTTGTGTTTTTTAAATATAATACGGCACTTCCTTCTTCTGGGCCCGTTGAGAGATTATTCTCCTTTGCCACAATTGTCAATGCTCCCAGAAGGCATGCGCTCTCCGACAGAAATTTTGAAAAACTTGTTATGAAAAGTAAAAATGTAAATATTTTATGAATAATTATAACTATATCTTGCAAATCAGGCGTCATTATTTTTTGCCTGCTTGATGAAAAATAAAAAATATTAATAATTTTATACCAAATATGTTTCTAACTTTCTGTGGTCTCTCTTGTTAAAAAATATGTTTCAAGGGTATATTTGAAAAATTAGTTTTAAAATTTTATGAAGTATCCCAAGCTTAAACGCCAAAAATAAAAAGGAAATACATAATTTTTGACGAGAGTTGATTACCACACCGAATTTAAATAAAATGTTTAGTGTTAACTTTTTTATCTTTTTGATTAAACTGTCCCAGACTAATTATGCCCGATTTGTATGGTATGATTAGGAAAAATATAAAAGTACCTATGCGTAGGTACACGAACTTTTGTATTTTTGTTCCAAATCAATAAACTTTTAAAAGTTCACATTTTATTATTAATTTACCTGTTCCATTTTTTTATACTACTTATTGATTTTGGGTGAGATTACAGAAGCTCTGCAAGTCGTACTTGAATCTGCAAATATCAGTTGAAAAAGAGAAACATGGTATTACAGAAACGTGTTTTCACTTTTTGCGTCTGCAAATCATCTGTAACTTTGCAGGAGGTAAGAACATCCTAGAAACTTGCAGATTGTCAACTTTTACTTTACTCTTTTTTTTTAATAACCATGAAGTCTTCTATTCCTTTTGATTGAATACAGTTTGTGGTGTCAGATTATCGAGTTTCTAAACATAATAATGCAGATTACCGCCATATTTGCAGACTTAGTTTTTCTATAATCTCACCCTTTGTCTTTTCCCTTAAGTTAAGAAGACCTTAAATGGTACAGAAAACAATACACTTAGGGCTGGTTGTATAAAGCTTACTTAAAATTACGCTTAGTTTTAGGTGATACATGTCAATTTCCGATGCTATATGTGCAGTCTTATGTTTAGGGAAACAAGCCCAAAGTGCTAAATGGTGTTTAGACTGTATCTATGCCATACAAAAATTATCATGTGTTTAACTTTAAGTAAGACTTATACAACCCGCCCTTAAGATATCTTTAATATTAAGGAATCCTTAAGAGAGCCGGTCCGGTTTATTTTATGGTTCCTCAATTCTATCATTATTTGTTGTTTTATCGGCAAAGTAATTATAAAAGTAATTGCTTATTCCTTTTTTCATGTAATTGTAATTAAATCAATATAATTCCTATTTTTACAACATGTACTTTGTACTTGTAATTAATTCCTTTTTTGAAAAAAATTGTAATTGTACTTTGTAATTGTAATTGTAAATGTAATTACCCAGCTCTGGTACGTACTAAAGTCAGCATCTCACGAAAATTTACATTGTTTATTGATGATATATCTCTTCTTTGGAAGAGATATGGATAAACTGAAACATGATGCGCCTCACGACTTTCGTCTATTTCTGCCCTTAAAATCTCACCGAACTTTGGCGCAATGACAGTACTTGACAGAATTTTCTACTTTCCTTTACTATTTATGATTCATAATAAATTAGCGTTTCAAAAAAAAATCATTTAACCTCTTATTTAGCATTGTACTAGTGAGTCATGTTCAAGGTTTTGGTAAAAAACAACTTTATCATAGGAAAATTTTAAATTTTTCGACACCATCCGATAGACATTTTGAAAACTCTTTTATTTAAAAATTTTTAAAGTACTCTGGTTTTTTTGTGGTTGAGTTTTTCTTTTCCTTATTTTTATTATGATGAAAATTGGTCATAGTAAAAATCAATTGCTTTATTTAGAACCTCTTTAAAAATTCAAGAAATACTTTTTTTAATAACTGTTTTTGCAGTGGTTGATTTTTTTGCATGTGTAAGTGAATATGCAATTCGATATTTTCCAGACCCTTTACATCCTGGACACAAACGTCGATCCATCGAAGGGAAGCGAATTCTGCAAAGTGGGAATCGTCTGTCATCTCCATCTAACCATAGAAAACAACTCGAGTTCCTTCTCTCCGGTCACGGAAGCCATAAAATCCATCATGTACGAAGTATTGGCTGAACAAAGTGTTTGGGCGGTGTGCGGTAGGACAGCGGGAGTCGTTTCGTTCGAATCGCAAGAGAAATATCAGACTGTCGTGCTCGAGGTGATGCCTTTGACCAGCGGTCATTTACCTCTGCCGTTGGTTAGAATATCGAAGTATATTCCTGCGGAAAGTGGAGGCGCAGGTGAGAAAATAAATATAATTATTAATAAAGATCTTTAAGATGATAAACGGATGACGTTCATTAACTACAACATACATATCAATACATCATGATGTAAATATATCGAGAAACTTTTAGGGGTGGTAGGGGACATCAAAATAAATATTTTTTCTTTAGTAAACCTATGTCCGAAAACGCAAAATTTCCTAATTACAGATAATTTTATACAAAAATAATAACGCCCAGTAGATATTTAAAATGTTTATAATTGTTTTGAATAAAGCAACTAAAAATACAACTTTTTTGTCCCTGAATATGTTTCTGCTTCTTTTTCTCGTTTTAAAAAAAAAATAATAATATCTGAACATTTGCATGTTTCTGAAACAACTAAAAATACAACTCAAAACGAAAAGAGAAACAAAAAAGTTAAATTTTTAGTTGCTTTATCAAAAACATAAAAAAATTTAAAAATATACAGGGTGATATTCTTTTTCAGCAAAAAAGTAAAACACTATGAAAATGTTGGATAAACGTGAATAGGTTCAAAAGATACCTCATCAAGGTCTCAATAAACTGTTAAAATTTCATTGAAATCAGTTAAAACTTTTACAAGATTTTTTTTAAACTTCAAAATTGTATCTCGGAAACGAATAGTTTTCGGAAATACGCTTATTAAGCAAAAAAATGTTTATTCTGATGTCCTCTACCACTCCTAAAAGTTTGTCGATATATTGCAGTTTATTACGAAAAGTATGGAATGTAATGGATTATAGATTAGCACGTGGGAAGCATTTTTCAATTCTTCATCTAACCGATTCTTAAATGAGACAATGTCCTCTTAAAAGTTGTTCCAAGATCATTCAGTTGATTATAAAATGGATTCTTCATTGGAGCTCATTGCATTTTTCTTTTTCCATTTTTTTTTTTTGAGAGTTTCCTCCATGTGTTCTCTTCTAATAAGCATTAAAAATATTTTTACAAGAATTATTCCCACTAGTCCATGTTTACGTTTCAGGTCACCTCTAGGTCTTTTCATTCTTTAGTTGGGTTATTCTTTGTGACTGCTAGATTTTTTACTGATACAGCACTTTTCTTTGTTTTTTGCTCTTCAGTTGTAATTATGTACCCTCCTAGGTACATTGAAATACAATTATTTGTTTTTTAATGTATAGTATATTTGAGCTGTTCTGTCCATTTTTTCTCACTATTTTTGCTTCGGTTAGCTTTTTTTGACCATTTTTAACTAATTTCTTTTAATCTGCATTTAGCTAGGAGTTTTGAGACTATAAGTAACCAATTACATGGTTTTCTATTGCTACTTGTTGAATATTAATAATTTTTCTAATTTGTTGGTTAAAATAAAGTGTTTTTATTGTTATATGTACGTTTTATAATATTTTGAAGCATCATTATTTATTTTTTAAGGATATCTAATATATTTTAGCTAGTTTGTCCATTTTTATCTCACTATTTTTGATCATTTTACCAACGAATTTCGTTTAATCTGCATTTTATTCCATTAGGTGTTTTGAGACTTTTTCATTCAGTTGTAAGAACGCTTGTTAAATCTCTCGATAGCTAATGACCCTACAACTTTATTAGATCGTACGTAATTTAAAGTTCATGCAATGACGTCGGGTGAGAGGGAGTGAAGCGCGCCCTGGAGAGAACACTTTTGCTATAATTTCAACTTTACTCCTTGATATGGGTGTCCTCGGCTCAACGTTTTGTCGTTTCAGCACAATGAATGACAATTTCCAAAGTCGAGTTCACTCTGTTTCTCAGGAAGGTCAGTTAAAATCGGAGAACAATGAAAATCTCTTTCCTGGGACAGATTCGCGGCTCTCTGACTCACAGAATGGCGTAGGCTTGTGAATACTAGAGGGGAGCAATTCTCTGTGAGGTTCGTCACCTAACGTAATTAAGTTGGTGGTTTTGTCATCTAAGACTAACTCTCCACAGTAAAATTGGTAGTGGCCGAGACTAGGAGAACCTCCAGTGTGATTAGATGAAAACAGACATATCTGAATGTGCCAGAACGAGAATATTAATAAAATTGTTAAATGAAATTGCATTATTACACATTACTACTTTTTAAATTAGAAAAACAAATCATTTAAAAAGAATGTAGGACCAGTGATGTCGCAGGATTGCTTAGAACTCCTAGTTTTTGTCAATGCAGGATCGAGAGACAAATCATCATTTCCTTCGAAAAGATGTCTTTGTGTTACAGAGTAAGCTACTGTGTGAAAAGGGGTTGAAAATTCCACAGAACTCCACCGTTGGCTTGATGAGCCGTGAAAATTGGAATGGTACATTGGAATTCAAGTATATGAAATAGGGAACTAACTAAAATAAAACAGTGATGAATATACATACCTGAGAAGCCCGAGTTTGCCCTGCGCACAGCTGAAAGAGATACAATGCACAAAAATTTTAAAATAAAAGTCTGGGACAACCTTCCGAGACAAATAGTCAAAAAGAACTCACCAAATCAATTCTATGTGGAGTAAAAGAAAGAAGTTTTGTTAAGAATCTCCGGGGAGTGGCGCTATAGTCCTCAACGGTCCTAATTCTTGACCAAAAAAAACTTTCTGTATGTCTAGTTAACTTCGGTACAACTAGGCTGCTAAAATTATCTAACCGGGAGAAAGAAACTTTCACTGAAACTCAAAAAACTAGCTCCTTAACAAATGATTCTAGAAGAAGCCACACTTATTACATGCACATGTGGCTATGTGAGCCTGTGAAGTCCTTGTCATTTTGTTTTGGCGCGATATCTAGCTTCTATCATCTGTACTGTCCCATGATGGACGTAACTTCCTTGAAAATAAAAAGGTCTCGCGCCAAAACTGAATACTGCTCTATGAAATATTCAATAAATTAATAGAAATTAACGAGCTAATAATGGTTTATTACTTGGGTCAAGGACTGGAAATGTAGGTAGATATTTGACCCATTACAATTTGGAGATCAGGTGATCTTGACAGATGGTGGGATTGTGAAAATTTAAAAATTAATATCTACCTGAAAAGGTGAAACAACGAAATAACAGGGGTTGCTCAGTTAGCGTAGTGTTGCAACAAATGTGTGGAATTTATCAAGATGGCTGAAACTTTTGGTGTATTCCCTAGTTGATATGCAAATTAATTAGATTGCATAACCATTATGGGTACAATAATGGTGTTTTAAACCAAAGCTATGTTGCATGGAGTTGTATAAATTTATGTGTTGCAAAATGTACAGGGTGGCCCAATTAAAACAGTCCATCTGCAGTATTTTACTAGGAGAAATTTTTTGGCAAATCCCCAAGACCGGTTGATTTTGATTTCAAAAGGGACTTTTTTTGATCTTTAATTCATGGATGTAGGTTCATCCCCCTGAACGGGGTGGAAACCCCTTCAAGAACACTAAATGGCACAAGGGTTCAAGTGGCACATCATTATAAAGGCATTTCAATTCTCTTTTCAAACATGCTGACATTTTTTTGTTCTGTGTTAAAATTAATGTAAAATACCTATTGGGAGTGTCTGTGAAATAAATCGAAGAAAAGTTTTTATTAATCAGATGTTCAAATTGCGACCCATTTACTTCCATGCAAGTAATATAGTCTTTGTTCAACATGTTCCCGAACATTTCGGAGCATTTCAGGAGTTATTTCTTCACATACTTGCACTTTTCGGTGGCGACGATCTTCTAAAGATGTAGGTTTCGTCTTATGAACGTCACTTTTTAAATAATCCCACAATAAAAAGTCCATTGGTGGTAGATCTGGCGATCTTGAGGGCCATTTAATGAAACCTCATCTACCAATCCAGTATTGGGGAAAATGTTACGTATAGGAGCTGCATAGTGTGGCAGGGCGTCATCCTGTTAAAAAAAATACATAATTTTCTAGGATCTGATTGTCTTTTTCGAGAATCTCCATAATGCGAGGGAATATCAAGTCTTCAAGCAAATTGAGGTAAGGCCTACCCGTCAAGTTGCCACGTAGAAAAAAGGGAACAACATTATTATTGCCCAAAATGCCAGCCCATATATTTATTTTCTGGATATTGTGAATACTGTTCTCTCATAATTCGTGGATTCAAATCACTTCAGTTTCTGCAATTATGGCTGTTGACATTACCATCAAGAAATAATGTGCATTCGTCAGAGAAGCAGGTAAAATATATAAAATTAGGATTGTTTAAAATTCTTTCAATCATCTCCTCAGAAAATTGTATACGGCGATCTGAATGATCTTCATTGAATTCTTGCATGAGATGAATCTTATAGGGATAGAATCGATACTTTTTTAAAATTCTCTACGTGAAATGCCTAAAGTTACTGCTACTTTTCTGGTGCTTGAAGTAGAATCCAGTTCAGCATGAACCAAAATTGCAACTTGTGCAGCCTCGTTAGTAACAGTGTGTTGCCTTTCCTTCATGTTTTTGTTAGCAACGGATCCGGTCTCCATGAATTTAATTATTAAATTTATTACATAGGGATGGATGAGGTTCTTACCAGGATGCCTTTCATTAAAAATTCTTGCAGTTTCCCGGGCCCTTTTATTATTGCTAACAAATAGTACGACAATCTCAATTCGTTCTGCTGTGGTGTAAACCATGAATTGGATCGTTTGCTTCAAGATAGCGGATAATAACAAATGAGCGAATTTCTCTACACTAGAATTTTTTATCGATTTATTTCACCGACACTCCCAACAGGTGTTTTATATTAATTTTAACACAGAACAAAAAAATGTCAGCATGTCTGAAAAGAGAATTGAAATACCTTGACCCCTCGTGCCATTTAGTATTCTTGAAGGAGTTGCTACCACGTTCAGGGGGACGAACCTACATCCATGAATTAAAGATCAAAAGAAGTCCCTCTTGAAATCAAAATCGACCGGTCTCGGGGATTATCCAAAAAAAACTTTTCAGAAAAAATTTCAGGTGGATTGTTTTAATTTGGCCACCCTGTATATCGTCGGTTTAATGTGAACATTGCATAAGTCCAAAATAAACAATTTTACAGGAGAGACAAAAAACGAATTTACGGCTTATTTAAAATTTATAGTTAAATAAAAATTACATTGTTATGAAAATTGCACAACTCCATTCAAAATTTAAACATGGTTTACAGATCAATATTTGTTGAAGTATAATCGATTTAATATAACTTTGAGTCACTTAAAATTTGGACTTATGCACTTTTTATATTAAGCCGACGATATGTGTGTTTTAGGTGAAGTTAAAGTACAGAGCTAAGTGTTATTTATTACGTTAAAAGGTGTTGACTTAGATGAGAAACAGTTGTTTTCATCTAAAATCAGGGGCCAATGAACTGCCCTATGACAGACAGTCCATACATTTTAATCTACGTTGCAACCGGCTATTAGTAACACATTCAATTGTTAAAACAAAGTGTTTTTAATGTTTAATAACAATTTATGACAGCAGACTTGTAATAGACGTTATAGGTATTCATTAACATTATATTTCTTCTATTTTCAAGTTTGCATTCAAAAATAATTTAGTAACACTTTTAAACTAATATACGACCTTGCAAACAATAGTAAAAAAAAATAAAAACGAATATGTCAAATATAGCATGTTGCTGTCACGTCGGTGTGCTATATAGAAAAGTTATATATTTTTGTATGCTTTCTGTCCGAAAAACTACTTTTTTTGACACATTCGAATAAAAAATACGTTTTCTAATATGTTAAAGCAGAATTATTTGTTTTAATTATATCTTATGCAATGCGACCCATTTTTATTCACTATTTATTTACAGAATCCCACTCCTGACACCAATGTAACGTTTATTTATTTAAAACAGTTTAATTTATTTGTACACTTATATTCAATAATTTATATCAAATACTTATTTTCTATATCAGTACTATTTATAATTCAAACAATTGATCTTTGCACAACAAATTCTGTCTATAAACTTAACTTAAACAACAAAAATTAGTCTATTCATATAAAAATGTTGCTCACCGCACTGGTTCTAGAAGAATTTGAGGTATTTCTCGAATGTTCTGGAAACTCATCTAGAAAAATTTTACAGCTTTCCTTCACACTCCACGCAGACCAACTGTCTCGCTTTGTTCAGCATAGGCGTGTTGAATATTTTTGTGAGGTAAAAAAGTCCAAACAAGGCAGAATTAGAGCAGGAGCGGACTGGTCGAAAATGGCTCGTGTTACACTAATATATTTTATCTGTACTGTCTTCTGTCCCCTTTTCTTTTTTTTTGCCTTTGGTTGGATTTTTTTGACCATTTTTTAGCGAATTTCATTTTAATCTTCGTTTATTTAAGGGTTTTAAAACTAATAACGAATTCAATAGTTTCCTACCTCTAGGTACTTGTTGAATAATAATTTTTTATGTTCAAATTTTAATGATTGTGGAGATTGTTAAAAAAACGTGTTGTTTTAGATAAATCAAAAAAGAACGATTCGCACCCAAGGTTAGAACCATTCAGTCCGGGTCAAGTGTACAACAAGAGCAAAGGAAAACAACTACACGTTATAGCGAACGTCAGTGAGAATGCGCAGTAGATTTATTTAGTATTTTGTTCCAAACAGAGTAAAACAAATTTTTTTCGGGGAGTATCGTTTTTTACGATTCTGCGTTTACTGTAAAATTACATTTAAATTTTTAAAAAATATTGCTTTATAAAATATATACAAATAAATTTAATGAACAAACTATTTTTAACATGAATTTATGTACTGTTGTTGGCCTTTTTGGAACTTTTAATCATAAAAAATAGCTTTGCAATACACTGATACTATTATTTAATGAGCAAATAAAAAAAAACATACTCTCTAGACAAAACGACAAAATTCAGTTCAAACCTGGAACAAAGTTGAAAAAATTATACAAAATATGCTCACTGATTATTTTTTCTCTTTATTCTGATGATTCCATTATTACGGGCAGATATTTATTTTTATTTTATTGTAATTACGACTGATTTTGTGCCAATCTTAAGTTACGCCGAAAATATTTTTCATTTATTTTTGTATATCATCACACATTATATTTGCGTTAAGTTCAAAAATAGGTATGAGCGTTTTTTTAAGCAATACTCAGCGTTGCCAGTTTACACGGCCCGGCCAACGTTACAACGCGGTCGGGCCGTATAAACTGGCAATATACACCCTAGATAATGGGCGTGTTTGGTATAAATGAATATAACAAATTTTAGCCAACCACAGACAACTAATTGTAATTTAGCCAGGAAAATGAAGACAAACACATTGACTACTGTCCCGAATTCCAAAACATTATAAATTAATAAGATTTTACACTTAATCTGAGGAAATTTGAAGATTAGCGAGGCGCGTGTTTCAATTTTTTTTTTATTTATTTTTTTTTTTTTTTGTAATACAAGAAATATGAAAACTTGTAAAGGAAAAAAAGAGATAATATTTTGTTCTATTAACTCGTTGAGTGCCACGGTAATTTTCAGGATTTCGGTCTAAAATGCCAATTTAATTTTATCATATTAATTATTAAGAATTCTAATTATAGTACATAGCAATCATCAAAAAGCATGAATATTTTTTTTTTTTTAAAATGATCTTACGAATTATATCGTTAGTAGTTAATCACACCATTAATAAAAATACGTGTACTCTTTTGTTTCTTGATTTTTAATTAATTTTCTATTCATATAAGTCGGACTTGTTCTCTTCCAAGAAACTATATATTGTCATATTTGCACTGATATACTACGAATTTATTAGTAGCTATACGAATATATTAAGTAAACAACTTATCTCGTAGCTTGGACGCTGACTACGACTTCACAGTCTGAGTCCTAGCCAAGAATAGAAACTACGAGTTATATTGTATTTGGCAGTCAACGTGTTAAACATTTTTTTTTTCTATATTTTGCGAAACATGCACATTGTCAAAAAATGTTAATTTTTTGAAAAATTTGAATAAAATAAAAATCGGAACAATTTTTAGTAGATACTTCAAAGTAGTTCATTTGTCTCGCATAAATTGATTTCTGAAATTACTTCTTCTTTTACTGTTTGATGCAGGGTGTTCTATTTAAAAGGATATCCGCCTTCTCAAACTTGTATTTAGGGTGATCTATTTAACTGTAACGTTCTGTATACGAGTTTAATTGATCTTTTTTTTTTAGCAGAGTTGATACACAAATGTTTTGTTTTTGAAGGACGCTCATACTTTTACGATTTTACAATTATTCCTTTTGGTTAAGGTTATAAATACTTAGTAGATAGGATTTGTATTATTTCTATGTACCTAAATTGTATATTATTGGTGTAAATATCTTTTATTTAAACAATTGGTTACAAATAAATGTATATTTATTGTTTGTTAATTGTTGTTTTTTTATATAAGTACTACTACTCAGGGCCGACAAGAGGGGGGGGGTAGCCGGGACTAATTCCCGGGGCCTGGGCTCAATCGGGGGCCCGGCAGTGGTATAAGGGGAGCCCGGCAACTGGCGAGGATTTTTTTGTACTTTTAGAAGTTCGGCACAAGAGGGGGGAAGCTTTTGCTTGAAGACCTTTTTTTTTTATTTTAGAGAGATTTAGTAAAGAGGAGGAAAAGTTTTTTGCTCTTGAAAACCCTTTTTTTTTTAGAAAGCGTCAGTAAAGAGAAGTTTTTGTTTGAAGACTATTTTTAGAGAAATTCAAGTAGAGGAGGAGAAGTTTTCGTTTAAAGGAGAAATTTTTTTATAAAATTGTCGCGGGGCCCAATCTGGAAAATTGTCCTGGGACCCGACCTGGCTCTCGGCGGCTCTGATTACTACCTAAATCACTCCTACGGAGTCCCTTTAGGTTCGAATTTGGACCCATTAATTATTCAAAATTATTTTCATTAAATATTAACTTTGTGTAGATGACAACAATTCTATTAACAGTTTTCTAATACAAATATAGTCATGCATACTTTGTAACATTTTAAAATTCCATTTAAAAATATTATTTTTAATTGTGTGGCATCCTGTATAAATTAGTATCAGATTGATTTACCATTTAATTATCGGCGATAGCAATATGCTTAGAGAGGGAAATTTCTCTAGATGGGGATCTGGCTGGCTCTCAATATTCGAACCTTTTCATTAAAATTCATTTCTCGTCTGATAACTTTAACAGTTCAGTGTTGAGACTGCAAAAGATAGTGGTAAGTTATTATAATAATACTGTCATTTTAAACATATCTCAGTAAAAATGATATTTCTACGTATTGTTACTGTTATTTATTTTGAAAGTCAATTTAAATTTATTAAATATGCTTTACTCATTTTGTGAGCTGAATTTACACATTGTTTATATTAATTAGTTTTTTGTTATCTTGATTTAATTTTAAAAAAAGTAAATGTTTAAATGTTAAATTATATATCATACAAGAGCCTCATGAAAAACAGAATTTATTTTTTGTCTAGGAAGCGAATGTAAGCAGTCTCACTTTCTACATTTTCCTTCCTATCGAAAATTTACTGCTATATATACTTTAACAGTGAAACTATTTTCAAAGTATTCAACTGGATGTTTTGGAGCTAGAGAGGCTATCGATGATGGCGACATTCCTAACTTAGATGGAGATCTTGAGATAACTACATAGCGGTAATTAAAAATTAACGAGGCTAAGAACTATTGATTATGGTATGATAAGAGTTAAAGTTGTTGGTACCAGCATGATAAAAATCATTATTTAGTTAATTCCAGTATTTATTGTTTAAATTTGTAAAATAATTCATTTCGTATAATTAAATAAACAAATTCATTTATATATATGTTGAATCTTATTTTTTTTAGGTTACAACAATTCTCTTTTACTTAAATTACATATAAGTTTTAATTAATTTTCTTCTGATAAAAAGCTAGAGTTTATAATTCTCACTAGCTTTCTAAAAATAAAAAAAGAGAAAATTGACGCCTCTCTCTCCCAGAAAACTATTATCTCCAAAAATGTCTATTAGAAAAGCCGAATCCACAACTGAGAAAATTATATGTGGTCAATGTTCCCATTTCTTTTTTTTTATTAGATTAAAGGTAATTAATGTTTGGTGTTACATTTTTATGAGCTAGTCAAAATTTCTTGTGTTTTGAAATTAACATTTTATTGCAAAGTAACGCTGTTCTATTACAAATTGGCGCCCAACGTGGAATGGAAATTATTTCTATTTTAAAATGAACGTATCGATGAAATCTTAATTGTCAAAACAATATCAACACAGGTTTGTCTGCACTCCAATTTAAAATGTCGATATCGTTCTTCGTCTTTAGAAAGAAATATCCATTAACGGTCCTACGACTTCTCAGCCAATGAATTTTCAGCCGGCAAACGCCAACATCCAATCACAGACAGGAGTCTATTCTATAAAACGTGTAAAATTTTCTTAATTCCATTTATAATTTTGTTTATTTTCTAAATAGGAAAAAAATCCAATTTGGCAATATAGTATTGTAACCGCCCTCCCCTCGGTCGCTTCTTAATTATTTAAATGTCCGTATTCTTACCTCCCTCCAATTTTTTGTGAAATTCAAAGTAATTCATACACTTGGCCTTTTTCCTCTAGTACGAGGGTTACCTTCTATATTTCGGGATTAGAAAACAAAAACAAATGTTAATCATCTAAAATCGCTTTACTGTTTTTTAAAATATTCTCCATGAAGATCTATACACTTCTGCATGCGTTTGAACCAATTGTCGAAGCCTGTTTGCCATTCTAATTGAGGTATCTCCAAAACATGCATTCTGAACGCATCAACCGCTTCTTCAGGTGTCAAAAAACGTTGACCTCTCAGTTTATTTGTTACGTACGGGAATAAAAGAAGTAATTCGGTTGGATTTCCTCATTTCTTGGAAGACAACTGGCAAACAAATGGTTGTGTACCACTCAGAATTGGCTGTTCTGCGTTCTTCTAGTGGTACGGTTGCGACATGTCCAGTTTTTCCGAAAAAACAGGCGACCATTTGCTTGGAAGTGCTTCGTGCGCGAACTACTTTTGTTGGATTTGGCTCATCTTGAAACACCCATACAGTCGACTGCTGTTTACTTTCGGGCTCATACGTGTAAATCCACGATTCGTCACCTGTCACTATGTCATAGACGTGTTTCGAAGCACCGCGATCGTATTTTTTGAGCATTTCCTTCGACCAATCGACACGAGCCTTTTTTGAACGATTAACAAATTGTGTGGGATCCAACGCGAACAAATTTTTTTGATAGTCAAATGTTCATGCAATATTGAATGTATGCTGGTCCCACTATTGCCTAAGGTTATCTCAATCTCACGATAGGTCACATTACGATTTTTCAATATCAGTTCGCGCATAGCATCAATGGTTTCCGGAACAACAACTGATACCATTACTTGGGGAATGAGAAATTATATTTCTCCCCGAGACCTCACATGTGTCCTGCCCAAATAAACAGGTCACTTTACTTGCCATTAAATATATACTATTGAAGAATTCTTGAGGACATACAGCAGACGTCCTCAGAATTGCACTATCTTTAATAATTCTTTGTTTCGTCATTTCTTTTTATTAAGGTGCGCTTACT